TTGAATCAACATCGGCCTTGCCTTTGCCAACTAAGAGTTCAACAACGGTATGGTGCCCATTCGCAGCGGCCCATGACAGTGGCGTCTGGCCATATCGATCCTTTGCTTCAACATCGGCTTTGCCTGCGCCAGTCAGGAGCTCGACAACGGCCTCGTGCCCGTTCGCAGCGGCCAATGACAGCGGCGTCCGGAGGTCCATATCCCTTTCGTCGATGTGTTTGTCTATGATTGTCTTATCCCCAACTTCTAGGACGGCCTTCAACAACCCCGTAATCCCATACACCGCCGTAGTGTGCACCAGGTTACCCCTTTGTGGTAGACGATGGTAGGACTGACCATATTGAGATATTTCCTGCTGAACACGCGTCCAAAGCTCGACGAGAGCGTTTGACGGCCAAGCAAACGACGCCAGAAGACCATGTTGAAGGACCCCTTCACCATCGCATTGCTTCATATGTGCCGCCAACGAGGTTGCAGCGTAATCCAAGAAGGGAAAATCCCGAGTGTTGTATATTATCGACTGGCCGATCTCCTCCATCGCCAGATAGCGTATACAGATCTTGGCGAGCCGGAGGTTTGCTCTAATTGCGGCCTCTGTCGATGTCTGGCATCCATCCGAAGCTAAGACCCCTTCCTTGACAAAGAAGTCCTTGACGGATTGGTGGATGAATTGGACAACCTGTGTCTGGGTGATCTCGGCAAGACCCCGACTGAGGGTTTGGATTCGTCTCTTCATCCGGTCGCTGTCGGGTACGTAATCTTCTGAGCTTTGGCATGCCTGTAATGACTGGTACGGGCAATCGGCGTCGATAACCATCGCCCATTGAAGTTCGTCAACTGACAAAGGCCGGGTGGCAAAGCAAATCAGTTGAACCAGTTTCAGAGAAGCCGAGTCCATGTCCTTGATGAGGTGCCGGTATAGTTCGTCAAGGTCAGGAGGCACAGAGCGGACTGTTGCTTCCATCTTCTTCAGCCCCGCCCCCTCGCGATCGAGGTCTAGTAGTTTCTCCACGACAAGACCCGCCCATATAAAGATGCCGGCGGCACGTTCCATGATCAAGGCTGGAATTCTAGACGATGTTTGTGTACGGAATGCAGCAAGTTGGCCATAGACGAACGTCCTGATGTCTCTTTCGTTTTCATCTTCAACGCATATTTCGAACGTATTCTTGTCCACATCCAGGATCGGATAGTGACGGCAAGAGAAACAGATATGAAACTGTCTTCCAACACCGTCAGGCTGGGATACGGCGCTCTTCAGCATCGTCTTGAAAAGGCCAACGAGCCTGACAGCGTTATCTTTGCCGCATTCGTCCAAGGCGTCAACAAATAACCAAATTGGGCGGGCCTTTAAGGTGTTGAGAAGAGACGACATTAGGAATGGCTTCAGTTCCGCTTCACGCCAGTTCCAGTCTTTGCCCGGCCGGCCGTTCTCGTTGCGTCTTGACTCAAACCTATCGACGAGATCATGGAGCGCGTTAGGGGCTTGTGCAAGGATTTGATGAAGGAGTGATCGGAAGAGGCCAAGGGGTGTCCTTTGGAGTTCATCGCCGCGGCCGTGGAAAAAGAATGAGAGGACAAGGGTATTGTTTGTGCCTCTGTGAGAACCGAGAGCGTATTTAACCAATGTTGACTTTCCAGTACCTGGTTTCCCCTTGACCCAGAGCAAGCCGTGATCGCAAGCGGCCCACGTCTTATAGGTTTCATGTTGAAGCAACCACTCGCATGTCCCCGCGACAGCGCTGTCAATATCGTGAAAACGATCCTGCATATGGGGGAACGCTAGTGATGTGAGGCAACCCTTGGTTCGCTCCGCCACGGCTGCGGGTGGGATTGGGTCTTGAGACTGAATTAGCCAAGTGTATTTGTCTCGGGATCTCAGGCTGTCTACAAGTTCTGCTCACCAACAGTCTGATGATAGCTTGCAGGTGGGGCCCCTCGATTGCCCTCCGTAGACGGGGGCGATGTTCGCGGCAGCTCTTGGGTCGCAGTAGCCCGCAGCGTCCATCTGACCAGCACACCAAGCAGCCTCTTGAATCCGTTCTCTTCCTCGGAAACAAACTTTACCATGTCGCTATGGTTGGCATGGATAGTGAAGCAGTCATATCCTTCGAAGGTCGCCGATTCCTTGGACACAACCTTATCCCCGACCCCACACAAAGGCAGTTCCTCATAGAAGCAGGTAACCTCGAAGGGTGTGCCACCTTCCCGTAGCGCTCGTACCATTGACAAGAACTCGACTTGGATAGATTCGAGGAGTTGATTGTCTGTCTCGAGGATTTCCAGCAGCGACTTGTTGGTGGACTTGACAAGGCCGACTGCCGCTGCTGGGATTCTTGACCAATTCGCCATCCAAGAGCCTTTGTGAGGGGTGCTCATGAATATGATGCCTCTGATGCAATTGAAGAGACCGCGAATATGGGGTTCCGGGTGGTTTCGCGAGAGAAGAATGGCCTTCTTGCAGACAAGGCCGCCGAGGCTATGGGCAACAAAGATGAGAGGACGAGTTGATACGTTGTTGAGATCTCTGTCAGTCGTTAAATCATGCAGAAGGTTCATAGCATGGTCAATCAGCCGGTTGGACCCCGCAACCCCCTTCCGCACTAAGTATGCATCGTAGCCGTACGTGACTATGCGGGCCTTACTGAGCTTCGGCGGCAGGAGAATTGCCGGCCAGGGTACCGACTGCCCATGAGCGGTCCATGTACTTTCCCGGTCTCCGGTAAGACCATGGACAAAGCAAATGTCGACAGCGGCGTCGGCGCAATCGTGCAGGACCTTCGCACCGTCCGGAAAAGAGGCAACTGGTGAACTCCCGGACGACCTGAGATCGGCGTCGGCCTTTGGAGGGTCTGGGGAGCTAGTGATGCGTTCCCTTGCGACAATTTTATGCTCTTCGGGTGGATCGCCCGAAGCTTTGTGGTGCCTCAACCTTCGGATGAGTCTTTCCATTGTGTTGAGCGTGCTAAAACCTCAATCTGGATGATGAGCCCCGACCACGGTGCGGGTCATCATGGTAACTGGAGGGCTACTTGCTGACTGCGGCCATGTTCGAAACGGAGAGCAGCTTTCAGCCGCTGAATGAGGAAGCGGGGTAAGCAGAGATGAGCTGAACGTCGGGAAACTCATCGCTAGACATTCTGAAGCATGAGTCCAACGAAACAGTTCTAGCCAATCGTTTCGATCCCAAGGCGCCTGCGTTGGGCTGCAAGACAAGCGGCCTAGCGAGCATGTAAAGAGATCGTTTCAAGCCTTGTAGATAAGTCTTAAGGGGATTGTCCTGCTCAAGCAGTTATTTGCTTGCTCTTGGTTTTACCGAAAAGCTGTTAGGAAGCCCACTCTTGCTGGAGTCTAGGCTTTAACCTCAGTGTCCTTCCATCCCAATCCAAAGGATCTGTTCATGTCCAGTCGGAAACAATTATGCTGAATATGGCACTTCGGTTTCATACGCGCCTAAGAAATTCGTCAAGTATCTTCATCCAAGGCACTCCTGCTAATTACCACTCACCTAAGATAAACCTGAGCGTACCCAGCACAAAATAAGGTGATGGAAATCGTGGTGGGACGAGGAATACGCCACTAGGTACACTGCTGTGTTAGATGATGGATGGGATGCGGGAGGAGCAAGGAGACGTCGAAGGGCAGGAGCAGGACTCGGGATCGGTCCAACAAGGCGAAAGATCTCGTTTCCGTGACTGCACTCTCTTGAGCGCTGAGGCTGTCTACAATGCTAGAGTACACATAAGGAAATGGGAATTGGAGGGCGTGTCTATAGCACAGAGAGGTCGCCGAATTTCTCCTGTTTGCCTCGTCAGTTTAACCTGGTTCCGCGAAAAGATGCAGTAGATCACTGGGAGTACGAACCTTGTAACCCGGCACTTCCCAGCGGCCCTTGGACACCAGTTTCGCAGTCTTCTCGTCGATCGACGGCTCGGCCGCGGCGACTTCGTCAACAGTAAGATCCTCGAACGGCCGGGCCGTCTCAATATTCTTAAGCGTCTTCTCCAAGTCCTTGAGCTCCAGGTCGACCTTCTCCTTGGTGGCCTCGGCGTTCTTGATGGCCTCGACCTCGAACGCCTCGATGGCCTTCAGCTGGCGGTTGAGATCGTATGTGGCGGGCTGGAAGGCATTAAATCGCTTCTCAATCTCGTCGACGATGGCTTGGTTCTTGAGCACGCTGCGGTAGTGGGCGAAATCGACCGTGGTGGGGAGCTCCGAGAGCATCTGCACCTTGCGGCGGACGTCGTCGTTGCGCTTCTTGAAGGCCTGGAGACTGGCCACAGTCTGGCCGCGCAGGCCGAGAGACGTTGTGATCTTGGCCCAGTCGACCTTGAGAGCGGCGCTTCGCTGTTTTCGGTGCAGACACGACAAAATTAGCTCAGCTCAAGAGCTCGCGAACTGTGCATCGTCCACTTTCCGCACCGCGCCAACGGTGCAGAAACACAATTCCAAGCATGAAGAGAACCCAATTGAGCCGGGAAACTTACTGCGGCCATTTTGCAGCGATTCTGAGGGATTCGGCTTGTGGGGAGTTGAGTCGCTGTCGTTGCTTCCACTTTGCCGAAACCCAGCAACATTGGCCGGGCGCAGTCGGCAGAGCTTGTCACGTGACAGTTTACGGAATTAGCCGGGAAACCATGATGTCGACTTTGATCTTTTTACTTCGTACATTTATGAGATATGAAGTAAGGCTTCAGAAACTGAAGCTAGTAGTATGCCCGAGTATGGCCCGATATGGGCTTATTTCGAGGTTCATGCGTTGCAAGCACGTGTGTTGAGGAGAGCGCAGAGACCACAAACTCAAGGGGCCTAAGCTGAAAGCATCATAACCAGGTCATGTTTTATCCACTTGATGCACGAATTGGGGCATTATGTAGGCAGAGAACCTGTCGACGGCTTGTATATTTTGGCCGTTCAACTGACCAGCAATGAAGCTGCGACGCCAAGTACCACTGGCGAACTTTTTGCCCAAGAGTAGATGTCGAAACACAGAACAAACCTTAAGCGCCTCCCGATACTAGACACTCAATGCCATAATCGAGTTGACTATGTCATTGTCGTTCTCTTTCAACGCCTTGATGGCCTTCTTCCGGGAGACGTTGGCTTGCGTCATGACGAGCTCGATGTCCTTGTCTTCGATACCCTCAGCGTCAACCTCCTCCCCATCGTCCTCCTCCTCCTCCTTGGCCTGCTCATGCTTGTGGTCGTGCGCGTGGCCGGCGTGGTCGTGCTCAGCAGTCTGGCTCGCGAGCTGCTGGGCGGCAGCAGCCTGGGCACTGGCGTTGACGTCCTCGATCTTGGCCTCACCGAACACACTGCGCACCTGTCAGTCGCAAGCACCATCATGTTGATTGGCTGGCAAGGCTCACATGTAGGTGTTGCTGTTAGGAGATTTGTAGACCTCGGGGTTGTTGATGACGAAGAGAATCTAGCCATATCCGTTAGTCGGGTTTGCTCAACGTTCCCGTGCCCCACCGAAGCTGCTCCTGTGCTCCCCGCGCACCATCTATTGCTCGCACAGTTTCGGTTCGATTAACTCACGTTCTTCGGGCGGCGGAGGGTGACGCGGGTAATGCCGTGCACACGGGTGAGGTGCAGCTTCTCCATGGCCTTGCGAGCCTTCTTCTCGTTGCGCGAGTGGATCACGGCAGTCGAGCCAGCCGGAATGCTGGCATCGCCGGCCTCAGCCTCGGACTCATCGCTGGACTCGTCGTCAAGCTCCTCGACAGTGGGCTTCTTCGCTTCCTCCTCGGGGAGCTCCTCAACGCGGGGATCGGCCATCTTGAAAGCTACAGATAGAGACTGTTAGCTTCCCAAGCTCGCGAACATGATCGCTTCGGCCAACGCCATAGCACCGAACTACACAACGTCCCGTTTGTCAGGGACGCAAATGAAGGCGACATAGGTAGCATCTCAGGCCAAACTCACATTAATGTATGAATGCCGCTACACTTGATATGCGGGGGTCAGAAGTGACTGGCAGGCCGTGGTGGGAAGAAATGTTCGGATCCAAATTTCAGATAGGGCTTGTCTGTGCAGCTAGAAAGCGCTAATCCCAATTAGGATATCACACAGTCGCCATAGCCTACGGAGCCTACCCAGCTTGTACTGCCGAAAGACGTACAGTACAATACAGAGGTAGATCGCATCATCAGTCTCGCATCACTAAGTGCCTACTTAGAGCTCTACGCAATGATAAGGGATTCAAGTAGAAGCAGAACGAGTGGACTCGGCACTGTCATCGCATTCCCGGAGTCTCGTATTCTGGCAGCTTCCCGACCTCACCGGTCTCGTCTCGGTGTTATGCATAGGCAACAGCCCATTGGGTGTCATGTTGTTGGCTTAATTCCGCATTTTCCATATGACGCCAGTCACCGTTGATGTAGTGACACACAGGTCTTCCGAAAGCGACGCAAAGAGAAACCCAGCAGCCCTAATATGCTGATGTTCATGCAGACCATTCCAGAATACCTTCCTCCCCGAGAAAAGCCATGCCGAACCAAACGCTCCGTCTCTAAAACAGCCCAACGACTCATGCAGCAGCCTTGACCTTGGCCAGGGCCTTGCGCTCCTCGAACCGCCTCTGCTTCTTCAACCGCATAACCTTGAACCGGTCGAAATCGGTGAGGGACTGGCGGCGCTCCTGCTGCAGCTGCTTCTTGGCCCAGTTGCCCTCCTTCCACTTAGCATCGACACCAGCAGCCTCCCACGCCTTCTTGACGGCACCCGTCCGCGCGCCGCGGGGAAGCTTCTCGATCACGATAGGTGTGAGGAGGGTCTTGGCCAGCTGGACGGGGCCACGGGGCGTCGCGAGCTTGGGGTCTGAGGAGGGGCCGTCGACGAGAGCCTGGATTGCCTGAGTTTTAGTCCCTCTCCATTCGAGCTGATATCCATCGCCTCCCCGGTCTCGGTGGGGACCGGTTTCCACGTACACGCTTGTGGTCGATGATCTCGACAATGGCGGCGAGGCTGCCGCTCTCGAGCTTCAGCACGCGGCCGACCTCGACACGGCGCCAGGAAGTCGCTCCGATATTAATCTCTGCCATTTCGTCGACTTTCTGCAGAAGTTGGCGCGGTTAGCGATCGGGACCCTGCAAGGTGCTGCAGATTGTCGGACTCGTGTTGAATGCGCAGATGGAATGGAGAGACAATCCGCCGACAAAACTCCAAATCGCAGGGAAGATGTATTGCGCGTACCTTTGCTGCTGTCCAAAGCCGTCAAAGAATCCGAGTCGCTGCCGTTCGCCGATATCTAGACCAATTTTTGTGCGCGCGTTGGTAATTGGCAGGGCTCGTCCAAAATTTACGGAACTGTTTAGCGCCGATCCGGCCCTCTGCGTTAAGTACCTAGGTACCTCAAATAAGCCACATGCCCGGTGGGTCAATCTCGGTGCTGTGGCTGGGCTACATAAACTCAAGCGTTTAAAGCAATCATCACCTTGCTCGCGATTGGCTCTGACTTTTCTACTTCTCATGTCGGAATCAATCTGTTGAGTCTCCCTTAATGACCATCTCATTCAGGGCTTATTCTCTTTTGGGATGTAAACATTCATAGCTTAAGGAGCAAAAATGTCAAGACTCAAGAAGGAGGGTGTGTTGTGAGCTTGAGAACTTAGCGTGATAGTCGCGGGGTCAGATGGAACCGGGATTTGGCAAACGTCCCTGGTACTTGCCAGATACCATATTGTTGCAAGATGGCAGCAACAGCTGGGCACCGCCGAGTATCAGCATCGCAAGCGCCAGGCCTCATCGAAACTTGATCCTTAGACCCCGTTACATATGATGTTAGCACGAGAAGTCGAATCCGGCATGGCCTGCCCTTCGTGCCACAAAATACAACATCTGGATTCTGGGCAAATAGACTTCAGCACGAAGAAGGCTATTTGACTTTACAATTTACATAACCTGAGTGATCTGGGCCGCCTAGGATCCACATTCCCATTCATTCACACCGAGACCTACGAAGTACCAGTACTCCGACCCCACCACGCCTTCCCACTCTACGGGGGTTCGAAGCTTCAACAGGAGTCGTAGCAATCGTATCCAATTGAGGCGAGGGGCGCCCACAACTGCTGCAATGGCAGAGCCAATGGGCCTTACGGCCTCCGACATTGAGTTCAGCGAAGCTACGCCCGAGCAGCGGCAGCTTACCTGGGAACTCAATGGCGAAGCCTGGGCAGCACCGATGTCCCTCGGCGACTATGTCGAAAGGGAGCAGCACCTTGCGCAGCACGAACTCAACCGCGACGGCCGCTGCCAATGCTGGGTGCTCTACCTTAAAGGATACCCTAGACAAATCATTGTCAGCTGTGAGATTGTCCGCAAACCGGCGCTGATTTCGGATGGTCAGGGCGGGCCAGCCCGAGAGGGCCACGGCTATGTCGTGACAAACATCTTCACAAACCCGTCATACCGCCGGCAAGGATTGGCCGCTTTCCTGCTACGCCGCTTGCAGGAGCAGATAGACATCGACGGCGACTTCAGCGTGCTGTACAGCGACAGCGGCAGAAATTACTACTCCAGTCTCGGCTGGCCTTCGCTCCCCAGCCGGCAGGCGACACTCACTTTATCACCTCAATCTCCGAACCAGAACCAGGCCTCCCTTTCTCCTAGCCATGCCGCCGTCAACTTCACCCCAACTAACCCCTCACAAACCCGGCCTTTACTCCCGGACGAACTTTCAGACCTCTGCGAGCTTGACTCGCTCCATCTCAGCACCCGCTTCGACTCGCTCGTCCCATCAGACGGCAAGACGCATGTCGCCTTCCTGCCGACCCACGCCCAGATTACCTGGCACCTCGCGCGGGCGGCATTCGACGCGCGCAAGCTGTTTCCGCGTGACAAAGCGAACTCAGAGCAGCCACCCCCTCTTAACGCGGGCGCTATCACCACCTCTGGCCGGGCCTGGATTTACTGGGCGCACGACTGGCGCACCCGGCGGCTGCGGGTGCTGCGCATCGTGAGGTCGGCGATGCTGGACCGGGGGAGTAATGTTGGCGTTGAGGAGAGAGTTAGGGACGTACGCGCGCTGCTGGAGGCCGCGCTGGCCGAGTCGGCGAGCTGCGGACTCGCGAACGGGGTCGTGGTCTGGAACCCCGAGGACGAGGTGACGCTGGGCTGCAAGGCGGTGGGGAATGCGTACGCCGCCATGCGGGATGCGCCGGTCGGGGTCAAGGTGGTTTTTGACGAGAAGATCGATGGCGGGATTCCAAGCTTGAGATGGAAGGGAGGGAAGGACACCAGCGTGGTGTGGGAGGAGAATTATGGTTATTGTTGGTGTTGAGGACGGCATGAAGATAGGGGTCCGCGAGACCTTCCTTTGCCGGTCTATTCTCGAATTGAACCGTGGGAAGACGAGCCTTGAGGATGGGATGCAGAGGATGGCATTGTTCCGGGATGAACTGCCTGCTCAAGCGGCTTCATTCGCATAATGGTTTAACTAACAAGGTCACCAATGCTCCCAAGTGGGAATCCTGGTGGTCAATGTTAGGTTACTAGGTAGGTATTCCAAACTGCTCTGCTGTTGCTAGCATTAGGTACTACCGATTGGATTTTGGCCATTCTGGCCAAGCCTGATCTCGCAAAAGATCAAGAATATGTAAGCACTAGATGTTCCGCTGGCCTGGACGGCTTCTTGTGAGATTGAGAATCTGCAAATATCGTGCAAGCATGACAAAAGTTGGACCGCATGGCGATCAGCAAGGGCGGGTTCGTCCCGTTTTTGAAGTGGGACTGGGACTTCATGTGCTGTGGTCGGACCCTGACGAGGCTTTCACCAGTCATAGACCGTCCCGTTTCTCGTTTCAGCCAGGGTCGACAGTGGGGGATCCACTCATCTTCCAGGCTCTCACCGAGTCTCACCTCATCGGTCCCCAGCGACTTTCTGCCACGGTCCACCTTCACTGTCGTGTAAGCTGAACAGGTCGCAGCATCTGTGGCAATGGAAAATACGACAAGCGGTGGGGAATGATGCACCTTCAGCCGCTGAAGACGACCGCCGCGGGCGGCCGAGAGGCCTCACTCCTCTCCCCGACCGACTACGATGCCGATGCGATATCCATCCGCAGCGACCAAGATACCGATAGCGAGGATGACGAGCGCCAGCTGCGCGCTCGGAACAGCCGCGAGCTGCTGGCACACGACAGGCTGGTTTTGATGGAAGAAGAAGAACTCGACCAGCTAGTGACCGAGACTCGGCGGAGGCAGGAGCGGGAGCGGAAAGGGTCGGGGCTGCCCATACCAAATCCATTACGGTTACTGTCCAGGAGACTAAGCGAGACATCGATATCGAGATCGAGGAGCCCGTCCACGCAGCCGGCAGAGTCGGCAGAGTCCCCGGTATTGGAGAAAAGGAGAGCGAGGAAAGCCCGGAGGCAGGCGAAGAAAGACAGGCTTTTGACTGATGCGCAGCACGGCGAAGATGGAGCGTTGATGTACGAGATGGAGGAGGGCGGAATGAAAGACGGCAGCTCGACCGGCGAGAGCAGCGACCGTGACGACAGCGACGAAGTCGACAGGAAGAATTTGCTCCATATCGCCGATTCGAAAGCGAAACGAAGCCGTAACTGTCGCCGCTGGTTGTTGCTTCACGCAATAATTGCTGTCGCTTTTGCGATCCTTGTCCTAGTTGCATGGAAACTCTCAATAGAGCGGAGGAGTTCTCGCCAGAATCAGAGGCTGGTCAGCAACGGCACCGCTATGTTTGCGCCTACCACGATCTTGATCAGTTTGGACGGCTTCCGGGCGGACTTTTTGAACCGAGGTTTAACGCCGAGACTCAACGCATTTATCAAGGAGGGTGTGTCACCCCTCTACATGCTGCCGTCATTCCCAAGCGTTACTTTTCCCAACCACTACACTCTCGCGACAGGGTTGTATCCAGAGTCCCATGGCATCGTTGGCAATACTTTTTGGGACCCTTCACTGCAAGAAGAGTTCTCCTACGGGGATGTGCGGAGTTTAGATCCTAAGTGGTGGATGGGAGAGCCGTTCTGGGTCACGGCGCAAAAGCAAGGACTCAAGACCGCGATTCACATGTGGCCAGGCAGCGAAACGATCATCCTCGAAACCAGTCCTACATATGTCGACAAGTACAATGGGCAAGAGAAGCTTTCGAGGAAGGTTGACCGGATTTTCGAATTCCTGGATATGGCAGATGCCGATCGCCCGCAAATCATTGCGGCATACGTGCCCAACGTTGATTCAGATGGGCATAAATATGGCCCCAACAGTACAGAAATTCGATCCACTATCGAGAAGGTAGATCAAATGCTCGACAGAATCTTCAAGGGCTTGGAGGAGCGGCACCTGGCAGACATTGTCAACATTGTTGTGGTCTCTGACCACGGTATGGCAACCACCGATGTTTCTCGGCTTGTCCAACTCGAAGACATTGTGGATGTGACCAAAATCGAACACAACGATGGCTGGCCGCTAGTTGGGCTGAGGCCCAAAAACCCAGATGAACTCCAGGCGATTTATGAAGATGTGATCGAGAAGACCAAAGCGAACCCGAACCTCGATGTGTACCTTCGGGATGTTAACATGCCAGAGCGGTACCATTTCTCGCGCCATGAGCGGATTGCGCCTCTGTGGATTGTCCCCAAAACGGGCTGGGCCGTTGTCAAGATGGAGGAAATGAATCTGAAGGAGGCGCAGGCCACCGGTGCTGTGTATCACCCCCGTGGTCTTCATGGCTATGATAACGAACATCCCTTGATGCGCGCAATCTTCGTCGCCCGCGGGCCAGCGTTTCCGCACAAGCCCAACAGCCGGGTTGAAGTGTTCCGTAAGTATCATTGCCTCGTCTATACTTGTGCTACGCTGACCATGATAGAAAACATTGAGGTGTACAACATGCTCTGTGATTCCGTCGGAATCTCCCCGGCTCCTAATAACGGAACACTACGGCTGCCCCTGAAGACGATAGGGCTACACAGCGACCAACATACCGGGCTAGACACGCCGGCGGATCCGGTAGAAGTCGTCCCAGTCTCAACATCGGTATCCCTGGAGCCGTCGGTCACCCCAAACAAATCAATTAGCGTCGACAAACCTACGCCAGAGCCAGTCGAACAACCGTCGGATGCAGACGGCAACGAAGACAGCGATGGCGACAACAGTGACGACCAGTCAGCCACGAATAAGATCCAGTCATCAATCACGGAGTTTTGGGATTGGTTTACTGGCAAAATCAGTCACTGGTGGGACAAAGTTAGCGGCCAGGATGCGGATAACGGCTCCTCAAAGTAGCCGTTTGCCTCATATTGTTATCCATTGTCTTCTTTCGTGTGTTCGATGTGAACCGCACCGAAGAAGGAAGGCATGCTTGTCGGCCATTGTCTCCTTTCCATTATTTCCAGCTTTGTGTGGCAGTGGGTGGCCAATATTCCTCTTGGGTCGGGACGGCGTTATGGGTGGCATTGCTCTGAAAGCTCGGCGATAGTGTGATCCTTTGATTTGGATCTTGTCTTCAATGCTGCATATGTATCCTTTAATAGTTAGACAACTATGTTGTCATCCCAAGCGAGAACCAATTGAGTTTGATTGTGTGTAAGAAGCTGAAACGGGTTGTCCAGGCCAGCTGTGTGCCTAATCCGTCCTCTTGCCAGCCTCGTTGCCTGCCTGTAGCCCTCCGTGGCGGCACATGCCTTTATATGCATCCATATGCGGGAATGGGTGAAGGGAGTCGCGCCCTGAAGTGCCTGCCTCATCATATTGGCAAAGATTTGACGTTATGCATTATGCAACAGCTGAGCAGCGGTACGTAGTCAGCAGGAGAGTGCAGACTGCAGACAGGCAGAGGGCCGCCCCACCATAAACTCAGTGGGGCTGTTGGACGGTGGGGTGGGACAAAGTGTCGTCAGGGGTCAGCAACGCGAAAAGTGGAGCCCGAAGCTTTGAAAGTGATTTACGCGTCCCTGAGGTTCTTTCCACAACTGGAAGCCAATCCCAACTCCCAACTCATTGCGACACCGAGACTCAGGCCTTAAACCAAAGAACTGGGAAAGGTGTGGCGAATCCGACTTTTCAAGGTTCCTGATTCCGATAGGCGACTGAGGGAATTACAGCCCTACTGCGCATGGTCGCACAAAGCTGTGTGATTCAGCTCTTTAGTCGCGCGGGCGGACCTCCTTCCTTTGGATCACACAAGCTGCCGTGTTGTGCTTAAGGCTAAGGTACCTAAGCAACGCCAACCTGCAGAAACAGGAAAACGGTATAATCACATAAAAGCAGGGCAATCAAGAAGCGCAAAGGCTGCCACTGCCAAAGCCACCGCCTTGTTCCTTCTCACCAGCAGCCCCGTGTTGCTGTGGCTGACTGCGGTTGGTTCACAGAAGCGGACTTGTCGCTGCTTCAACTCCACTGGGTTTCCGGGCGACGGACGCTGCGTCGAGTCGAATACTGTGCTCTCAATCCATTCTCCTTCTTTCCAAAGTGTCCAGTCGCCTAGCAACGGCTTGTTCTTTCTTGAAAGAGGCCACCTCTGATCTCTCTGCAGCCATCCCAGCGGTTACGTGCCTTATCTTACTACCTACCTACCCTGCACTTTAGACACCTCTGGTGTACTGTACAGTACTTTGGTATGCAGCCTAAGGTAAGGTAGGTAACGTGAATGGCTTCTGCTAGCAGAACGCAGTTCGCAGGCTCGCCCAACCTGCCTTCTTCCGATTTTTCCTCTTCCCCCGTCGATCCCCTTTCCGAAAAACTGAGCGTTCAGCGCGCTGTCCTTGACTACCTCCTCGATATTTCTGAGTCCGCCGAAGAGGACATTGCAGCTGCCAGGGCTGAGATTGCGAACCTTGAGCGTCAGATCGCCCAAGCCGGGAGCAAAGGTTTGTTCTCCGAAAATCTGGCGCATCATTTCTGCAATTGACTGACCAGAGAATCTGCTATCCCTAGCTGCTCCACCAGCCGCCCACATGGGAGATGCTGGCAGGGACGAACTCGCTGGAGGTACGGATCAAATAACGCCGACACAATCGCCAGCTTAACGCACATGGCCGAGAGGGCGAATCGTTCGAGATGTTCAATGCTAACCGCACGACTAGGTAATCACGGGAGCCATAGCCAATCAACCGCTTCGGCGATGGATTCAACCTCAGGTATTGTAGCGCCGCAGGGCCCTGGTCTTTCGTCGCGGAAGCGCTCCCTTGGGAGCTCGCATCTCGACATTGATCCATCCTACCGGGCACTCAACAAGTCAAGGAGGACTACGCCAGACCCGGGATTGGATGCTTTCCAGCCCGGCTTCGATGATTTTGGCGACAGCGACTTTCAAGACTTCTCGGTTATTGACCTTACTGGGTGAGTTAGCCTGCTTCCCGTTCAGCATTGCTTAGACAGTCTTGACTGACCTCCAATAGGGACAATGATGACGAGTGGCGATTGACGATCCAGCGCCAGAAAGAAGAAGAGGACCGACTACGCCGTAGGAAAGCAGACGTGGATCGCGACGCTGCTCTGGCAAGGCATTGGGCCGCGCAAACATCAACCCCTACCAACGGTTATGCGACTACTGAATCGTCCCATCCTGCTCAAACCGATGCTTCTAGTTGGATCCTAGGCAGATACGCTCAACCTTCGATATCCGTTCACACCGATCAGTCCCGCATAAATCCGAAGCCTGACACTCCTCTGGTCACTAGACCTCGTGATTTCCCTGGTTCCGGCGCAGATTTCCTTGCGGGGCAGAGTGGACCGAGCAACTTGCTAAGATCTCCTCAGACTGTATCTGAGTCGGAAGCTAACCGATATCGGGTACCGGGCGCGTACGTGGACTCCGATAGCGATGATGGTGGGTTAGTCCCTGGAAGGGTCCGATATCCAACCGCTGGCCCTTCTCGGGCTTCGGTAAACCCGGTTCCTCCCAGTCTATCGCATCATGCTCCGGGTCCCCTGCCCTCGCTGCCAACCCCATTTGGCAGCTTTGGCACAGCCAACCACTATTCCCCCAGCACTCCGGCCATTGAGTTGGCCCGACAGTCTTCCATGGCACGGCAAGACCCACACATCTTTGGATCTCCCTCTCCCCTCACGGCAAACGCCCCAACTTTTCTGTCGGTTAGCCCAGATCGGCCAGGCTCCATGAATATGAAGACTTACCCATGGCTGAGTGCCCCGGTGACCCCGCTTCCAAGTCTTGCAACAGCTATCAATCGTGTCAGCACCTATAACTTCGACACCTTGGTTGATGGGGATGGAAACCCGTTTGACAAGCGCCTCGTCAACTTTCTCGACGACTTCGTCAACGACCCCCGGAAGACAGATGAAGATGTTCAAAAGCTCTTGTCAAACATTCGCCCCGACATGGATATTCCCGAAGAAGAGCGTGGCGAAACGCCTGAAGCCATGAAATACCCTCTTTACCCGCACCAGCAACTCGCGCTCAAGTGGATGAAAGATATGGAAGAGGGGTCAAACAAGGGCGGTATATTGGCTGATGATATGGGCCTTGGCAAGACTATCTCGACTCTGTCCTTAATGGTTTCACGACAATCTTCCGACGACATCAAGACCAATCTTATCATCGGACCCGTCGCCCTCATCAAGCAGTGGGAGCACGAAGTGATGAAGAAGCTGAAGGATTCACATCGGATGAGCGTCCTACTTCTCCACCAGAGGAAACGGCACCTCTACACTGAGCTGAGGAGATACTCCGTCGTGCTGACCACCTACGGATCGATAGCCTCTGAATGGAGACAGTACAAGCAACACGTCGAGCAGCGTAAGGATGCAGAAGGGTACGACGAGGGAGAGGACATGGAACTTGCCAGAAAATGTCCCTTGCTTCACCCACACAGCAAATTCTACCGCGTCATCTTGGATGAAGCCCAATGCATCAAGAACAAGGACACTCAGGGTTCTCTGGCGGTGCACAAGATCAATGCCACCTACCGATGGTGTCTCACTGGAACCCCAATGATGAACAATGTGACGGAGCTGTACCCACTAATCCGTTTCTTGAGAATTCGACCGTACTGCGATTTCAAGACATTCCAGCGAGACTTCCGGGGACTCGCGGCGAAAAGCAATACCGCAGCCTATACCAGGGATACTGCCATGCGGAAGTTGCAAGCTGTTCTAAAGGCGATTATGCTAAGGCGAATGAAGAACTCGATGATTGATGGCAAACCAATCTTGACGCTGCCCGAGAAAACCGAGATCTCGGAACATGTCGTATTCTCGGAAGACGAACAGCAGTTCTATAAGGATCTCGAATCACGGACTCAGATTCAATTCAACAGATATTTACGCGCGGGTACTGTCGCCAAGAACTACTCCAACATCCTTGCTCTCTTACTGCGGCTGCGTCAAGCGTGCTGTCATCCTCACTTGATGGACTTTGAGTATGTCGGCAGCGCTACGTCTGATACTGAGATGGTAGAGTTGGCCAAGGATATGACGGCTGCCGTTGTTGAGCGCATCAAGGCGATCGAAGCGTTCGAGTGCCCCATCTGTTACGACGTTGTTGCAGATCCAGTTCTCCTGATTCCCTGCGGCCACGACACGTGCTCCGAGTGTTTTGCTTCCCTCACCGACAACTCAGCGCAGAACAACATCAGGTCTGGTAACGAGAATGGGGCCGCTAGGTGTCCTGTGTGTCGCGGCCCCGTCGACCCTGCCAAAGTGACTAATTATACCTCTTTCCAGAAGGCTCACATGCCCGAGAGGGTCGAGCCAGCTGAGGCCGAGGAACTGCTTGACTCGGATACCGAATCTTCGACGGCCGACGATACGGACTCCGATGCCGAATCTGTTGGGAGTCTTGCTGATTTCGTTGTTCCCGATGACGTGGATGAGTTTGGCAGCGATGAAGATGCCAGGATTGACCCCGAACTAGCTGCGGTCTCCAAGATGAAGGAGACCAGGAAGACCAAGGAGACCGAAGAGGCCAGGCAGGCCAGGCAGGTCAGGAAGCAGTCTAGGAAGGCCAAGAAGAGCAGCAAAGCCGAAGGAAAGATCAAGTCCAAGTCCGACGAAGTCAAGCCTTACATGTTAAAGACACTTCGTAACGAGGCAAGCAAGAACAAGGAGGCTCGCCGCAAGTACATGCATTACCTTCGGGACAACTGGGAAGACTCAGCCAAGGTCAGCAGGGTAATTGAGCTCCTTGGAGAGATTCAAGAGACGAATGAGAAGACCATCATCTTCTCGCAGTGGACCGCCCTTCTTGATCTGATCGAATGCCAGATCAAGTACAATCTCAAGATCCGATACCGCCGTTACACCGGCGATATGTCGAGGAACCAGCGCGACGAGTCTGTCAGGGACTTCACGGAGGATCCCAACACCCGGGTTCTGCTGGTCTCGCTGCGAGCCGGGAACGCCGGTCTCAACCTGACTACTGCGTCTCGTGTCATCATTTGCGATCCGTTCTGGAATCCCTACATTGAGATGCAGGCCGTCGACAGGGCGCACCGGATTGGCCAGCAGCGTGAGGTCAAGGTTCACCGGGTTTTGGTCAAGGAGACTGTCGAGGACAGGATCTTGGACCTGCAAGAAGAGAAGCGCCGGCTTGTAGAGGCGGCGCTGGATGAGGGCTCGAGCAAGAGTGTTGGCAGGCTTGGCGAGCAAGAGCTTCGCTACCTGTTTGGCGTCAATCAGGCTCGCTGATAGGCTTGTTCTCTTGTCTACACCCACTGGCTTATGTTAGCAGGTACGCATAATCTCTGAGAGAGTTTGCTGTCGGTATTTTGGGGGGTCAGCATCCGGCGGTTGCTTCTGTTCTCCCTCCCCCTGGGTATGTGCCAGTCACGGGGATTGCACCCTGCGTCTATCGACGACTCTTCTTTTGTCAACGCATCGGCTGGGGGTAACGGTATGGCGTACAAGGATTGGCTTACGGCCGGCCCGTTCAATGTTCAATGACTCAGGGGAGGTCTGAAAATGGGGGTCAGGAACATGGAGTTGGGCTTGGCTCTGTTCTCTGCGCTGTGTCATTCACAGACCTGCATATGGGTTGCGCATAGACGGATGAATACCTGGACGGGGGGACGTGCAGGAGTCAGCATTGCACCATGTGGGATTGGGCGGGAAGGCCGGCAGCTAACCTCTGTTCTTTCTTTGCTTTCTATGCTTTCACACCTTACGTAATTCATATTGCTCCCGGCAAGGGAACCATTATCCTGCTACTAGCCTACTAGTCAAGTCACAACCAATACTGCCCGGCTTCATTGGGACTCGGGAGTGTATCAAACTATCACTGCTTGAGAACTTGCACTTTTCCAATTCTTCTCCTTTTGTTAGCTGAGGAGGTTGCAGTCTCTGCGCCTATGAGCGAGTAGATTGCTCAGCAAAAGCAAACTCTCTCAGACCACGGCGCAGGTGTTTAAGGGGCCCTGAGTCGTGTAGAGGCAGAGAGGTGAAGGGAATTTTCAAGTATGCTCGTGGCATTGTGACTCGTAACTAGGTATGGAATCCGTTGCCCTGGCAACCGAGGTACCTGTCCTTCTCAGGAGCTAAGAAGAGAAACACTACGAAGATGAGGGCTACTAATACCTATGCTGTTATCTAGTAGAGCACCGGCGACGGGCCTAATGAATCTTGTCACTGATGATTCCCTTGTTGTCACGGTGACCTGTCGAGAACCATGAATTAAGTGTCAATCATTAATGTACAGAGAAAACAATAACTCCAAACCTCCATTCTTGGACGGTTATATTTCAATGATTGCTCCGTCTCTCCCGTCCTGAGTGCCAGGGGCTCTCCGTACATACTACAATGTGTGTACAGGCATTTGACGTCTCTTTAAACCCTTTTGGAGGTATGAAATGGGATTGAACGTCTGCAGCTCTGCTGATGCATTCAACTTGAAGTTGAGGTACGGAGGCTGATAAACAATGATAGATTTCAAAGCACCTAATAACTTAGTACAGCTATGAAATCATTCCATACCTTCATTGAATACAATCCCAGGCTCAGACCTTTTCCGCGAGAAATCAAACAACAGTTTTACAGACACTCTTGACCTCCAAAATAACCACCTGCCGCACCCGCCACCAATCACCATCAGACGCCATTATGCGGATGATTCGTTTGGACCATCGGCATCGTCTGAGCCGTCTGACGCACGTCCGTCTCCAAAAAGGGCCTCCTCAATCCGAGCCGGACCCGGGGCAGGCCTTCCATGCGATCTGCGCTCTGCGAGGGGATGCGCAGCACCGTCTCGCGGTAAAAAGTGCCCGTGGTGATGTCGAACGAGCAGGCAATGGCTCGCTTCATGCCGCCCTCGCTGCCGCCCACGACCAGCACCGTCGGCGGGCGCTCGGCGTAAAACAGCGTGGCGGTCATGTTGAACGTGTCGATCAGCGTAAACACCTTCATCTGGCCCATGGCGCTGCGGCTCATATCCTGGCACGACGCCACCGTCGGGTGGTACTGGCAGTAGTACCGGCCGGGGGCTCCTGCTGCCGCCGCGGCAGCCGCGGCGGCCGCAGAGTGCTCGCAAGCGGTGCATGGGCTCGTCGGGTCGATCGTCTCAACCGGGTACGTGTCAATGGCGGCCACGTCGACGGCGGCGGGCGGCGGGCCGTGGTAGTAGTAATGCTGCTGCTGCTGCTGGAGGAGTGGGGCTTGGTCGTCGTTGTCGTGGTACCTGTACTTCACTGTCCGCTCGTGGATGACTCGCCCCTGCTTGTGTCGCGACAAGGGTGACCCCCAGGCGCTCCAGCGCAGCCGCCGGGCCTGGGTCGGGCACGTCCCGAACAGCCTCTCCTCGATGGCCTCGATCGGCACGTACCCTTCGATGCCGAAGAAACAGGGTTCGACTTCCCACAGCTTCCCGGAGTATAGGTGCCAGAGGAAGTATGGTGCCGGGAGGATAAAGAAAAACAGGCTGATCACGAGTATCGCAACCCCGGTTGAGTAGCCGGGATTGGCCACCGCGGCGGAAGGCGTGGAATAGACGGCGACGAGGATGATGCCGGTGAAGAAAAGGAGAGGCGACCAGGTCAATAGGAAGAGGTACACCGCGCGCTTCAAGGTGTAGTTCCGCATCGTCCGCACCGTGGTGAACTCGGACCATTGGATTTGTGCGCCCTTGGCGCCGTCCACAATGACTGTGTCGTTCTCACCAATAGCGCAGACTTGGGTGTCTGGGTAGATGTCCCAGAGACTGGCCATGTACTGATCCGTCATGAGCTCCCAGTTCTGGTCCGGAGTGTAGGGCAGGAGACAGATCAGGCGCTCCATCAGGCGGTCGCTGTCCTGCGGGAGCGAGAGCCGTGCAAACGCCTGGAATGCAGAGTCGGTCTTGTCAATGGGCGGGCGAATCCGGAGTAGGCCCATCAGCACGTACACCCTGTCGCCGGGATGCAGGGACCTGAACTTGCGGCTCATTAGACATTCGAGCGCAATCTTGACGAGTTCCAACCGGCTGAGGTGCAGATTGCTGTAGTGTTCAATGAGCTGGCGCGAGGTCAGGCGATCCTCCCAGGCGTAGACTGGGAACAATGCCTTGGGAATCTCGCTGACAATGCATTTCTTCAGGGGTGCCGGTCTATCACCGTAGTGCCACACGGTGACGGTCTCTCCTTTGCTGAGGACGATCTCAGGCAAGGTCCAGACACGCTGTCCCCAGACACGGAGAGCGCCGTCATCCCAGGGGCGGGTTGCGTTGCCAGCTACGACAATGACATGCTTGGCCGCCCGGATGATGTCGCTTATGCTGTAAGTCTAGGAGACGGAGAAACCATGTCAGATTCGTGTACAGTACATCAACTCTAAGCCTAGCATCGTTAGATCACCTACGTCTTGATTTGCCAGAGTTTCTCTCTCAAACCCCTGCACGAGGCGTACTTTGCCGTTCTCATCGACATCTTCGTCGGGTGGCATGCAATTTGCCGCGATCCAAAAAGCCCTAGGGTGTTGCCGCAGATCAGAAGGCAGCGGACTGAAATGCTGAACGGCGGCCTTAGTGGCGACGGCGAGAAGAATTTCGAGGTCACCTGCGTTTCCCTCTGGCCCGGACTCGCTCCTGTTCGGGATATGATAGTGAGCTGACGAGTAGCAGACCATGACAAAGGGGGTCAAGTCATTGGGGCCCACTGGACGGCGCTCGTATTCGTAGACTGTCCGCCCATCCCGCTCAATCTCGACCAGGTAGTTCAGGAATCGTGGGCGGAAGGTCCTGTACGTGGACAACGCCGCCGGTGTGTTCCACGCCGCGTGGCCTTTCAAGCGTTGAGCCACCTGCGGGCTGTTCTCAAGGAGATTGCGAGCCATTCGTGGGTACCTTAGACCCTTGTACATGATGGGCAGGTACTTGGTTTTATCCTTTGCTGGGGGAGGGTCGGAATCCCACAGCATCCACTGGGGAAGCATCGGGTCAGCATCTCGGAGCGAAAACAGCGTTCAAACGAGTATCCTGTCACTCACTGAAAGCAGAAAGGCGGCAACGGCAGGAATCCACATGGAAATCACCACCACCCAGTCCTCGGCTGTATACTTGGACGCGTCGCCTCTTCGCTCGCCGGGGATAGGGCGGAAAGGGAGGTTCGCAATGCGCAGCAAGACGGGCGTGACATTTCGAATTGGCGTCCGTTTCCAGGTCGCATTCGGGCGCGTGGAAGAGAGCCGACAAATAGATTCAGGAGCCTGGACGTAGAGCGTGTCGATCTTCCCCGTGAACGGGTCGAGGTAGGAGTCAAATGGCTTGTCAAACGTCTCCTCGCGCCCGAGCCCGTCGATGACAGTGAAAGGAGCCGGCGTCGGCACATACTCGAGGCTGGGCCGAAAGTAGAGATGGGGACTCGACCACCATCTAAAGCTATACCCGCCGGTAAAGAAGAAGGACCACCAGCTGGACACGTCTTGATGTGGGTTTGGGTAATCCGGGACATCATAATGGCGATTCCCTGGCTGTGGCTGTGTGGCCGCCATCAAGATGGAGTTTCCGTCAACACCTCCTTTTCGAGTCAGGATACGGTGAGTAGTGCTGCTGGGTGATCGTTGCGGGTTGTTGCCCCCCCGATACGGTGATATCTTTGCACTCCTAGTTAGCGAACAGGTTCAAGGAGTATCAAGGCCATGACTCACTAGTGTTGGCTGTTGCAGTTGGCGGATTGCTGTTTTCGCCGGGGAAGTCGTCGCCGTAAAGGTCGTCCAGGAATTTCCGGTATTTTTCTCTGTCGGGGTTGGTGCTTCCGCCGTGGTATCCGCCGGATTGGTTGCCACCTGATGACATGCCGACGTGACGAGGTGACTGATTTGGAGCTTTACAGTCGGGTTGTCAAGGTGAGGACTAGAACACGCGGGACGTGTGGTATTGGAGGCTTGCGGCTTCAAGTTGGGAATGATGATGGGTTCTAGTAAGTATTATATCTAGAGATCGTCACTCGTGGGCCGAGAAACAAAGACAAAGCTTCGTGTTCGTGAGGCTGCTTGTCGCCGAATTTCCAAATTCAGTGAGACTGAGGCTGGCCCGAGTCCTTGCTTGTGATACATGATAATATTCGATATGGCGCTGCTATGTAGTCTTCCCATTGGTGTGATCTTCGGCGAGGCTTCTGTGACTATGCACCCCTGAAATGAAGCCCTTTTTTCAGCAGCGGGCTCTCAGAAGTCGAATCACCTTTGCTAGAGCCTCATGATTGAAAATAACAAGCGCGCATTGTTTCGGCGTCGGCTCCCCATACCTCGCTTTCCTCTTGTCGAGCGTCGGAACTTGGCCCTGGGCCTGACTGTCCCTTGGTGCTCCGGAAACGTACTGCTGCTTATTTTTCGAGTCCTTCCTCGTATCCATCTTTCCATTCCCAGTCTGTCTCCCTGGCTGAAGTTGCTGTTGGCTTCATCAAAACGATGCAGAGACACGCCACGCTCAATGCGCCTCCAAGGGCCGAGCCTTCTCCCACCCCAAGGCGGGGTTCTGACTTCTCGTACCACAGGCTGTGGAGGCTGCGCGGTACGCCACCCTTCCGCCCGCATGTCAGTGGGCTTGACCAACTTGTCGAATAGCTTCTAACAATGTTCTGGCGCCAAAGACGAGCCACTAAGGCAGAGCAGACATAACGCTGCAGCTGAATTAGCTCCATGGACCGGGCGGGACCTCGATATCATGTACATCAGCTCGATTTTCTATCTCAAGCGGTCCTTGCCACCACCCCTTGAGACAAGATGGGTGTGACCATTGCGTTCTAGTCAGCTGATTGGAAGCCTGTCTTGTAGAATCGCCCCCCTGGAGCGCGCGTTCCCCGGCTCCGACTCCGAGGCTGAATACCAGGCGTTTATCCACTTGTACAATCTCCCTGATGAGTTTGTGTGGGAGCGCGAGCGTGGAGTGACGCACTCTTTCGGGTGCCAACATGGCGAGGATGGGCGTGAAAGTAAGTGGTCAACTGTCCCGTCGTTCTTCATAGTCGTATGGTCCCGAGTCGCTGACCTGCTGTCGATTGTGACCAACATTGGTTCAAGCTCTCTGGATGCACTTTCTTGTTGAGATCCCACGAACAAATTCGTCGACCCCGGAGGACCGACAGCCAGAGTGGCTAAAATGGGGATTTTTCCTTACCTGGCTGCCGACTCAAAGGGCATCCACCTACACAGTCGCGCTGATCGTCTTTGAGCCGCCCATCGAGACTTTGGAGCGTCTCCTCAAATTCGTGCGGTCTCCAAATTGGACCGATGTTACCGTCGATCCCTATGTGCTGGTCGACATTGCCTTGGTGTCGTGGTATCATCGTGTTGACAAGGTGGCCTGGGAAGTGACCAACCTTATCCGCAACGACGAGAGGGACATCTTCGGTTACGCGCAGAAACTCCAGTCGAACGAATGGGCCCTCGACTTGCATCAAATCCACACGAATGCCAAAAATGCCATCTTCATGCTCGAAGCCTTGGATGCTGCCATCCGACAGGTCGACATGGCCTTGTTGCAGCATGAGTCGATCCGCCAGCAGGGGGGGAAACTGTGGGAAAACACGCACCGCCTTTTGCGTCATCGTCTTGAACTGTTCCAGTCAACGAAGTTACGAACTACCAGTTCACAAGCCAGAATTAAGAATACGATAGATCTTGTACGTACCCTTGCAAAGCACCAACAGCCCCGCTGACCTCTTGCACACCGAGGACTAATCCCACTCAGGCGTTCCACATCAACACGGCACATGACAGCCGGGTCAATCTGGAAAACAGCCAGGTCAATCTAGGGATCAGCCAAAGCGCACGCCTCGTATCCGTTATCGGTCTGGTGTTCTTGCCCTTCGGCGCCATCACGTCCATCTTTGGCACACAGTTCTTTACCCCTGGCAGTCAGCACATGGACATCAACCCTGACTTTTGGGTCCTGTGGGTTATAGCGATTCCCATAACACTGATAATCTTAGCTGTCTGGCGGGTTACTGAGCGTGACAGAGCGAGGCTCTGGCGGCCGGGCCGGAGCTCTCTGCATGACGGCCGCTCTCTAACCTTGGTATCTCCAAGGGACCGCAACCACCGGAGCAGCAAGGGCAGCTCCATGGTGAACGAAACTGAATTGCGGGAAATATCATCCCACCAGATCGTGTGACCGTTATAGGTTTGCTTCTGTCGGCAGGTCCGTGACTTGGACCAAGTTAGACTGTTGGACATCTGGTGCTGCAGATAACATGATATTGATACCGGCAACGGCTGATGGAAGCCAAGCAAAGAGCTAGCAATGATGGAAATGGATTGAGAGACAATTACGAATTGAGAAACGGTACCTAGGTATATTAGGAAAGAAAAAAGGAACATTTCCATTATATTATAGGCTCGTTGGATTACGTATCCCATTGCAACTTCCTTTGGAATTCAAAGTTTCCGACACTTTCCAATAGGAGTAGGACCAAAGGACTACACAAGACCGCACTAGCCGCAACAGCAACAGGCAGGAAATCGCGACCCTGAAGAATCGGTAATTTCAATCCTGTGCTTTGTTCTTAGCGTAGAAGCGATCTCATAGAGCAATCAAGGAGTAAAGTCCAGCCACGGGCATGAGTTTGACGATCGTACAGCGACATTGATAATCCCTAGCACAAGTAGCTTAAACATCTACCTCAACATGCATGTCAAAGTGCATTGATAAAAGGCCCAGTAAGCTCAGAGAACCTTCTTCTCCCCCCTACTAGTAATGGTGCAGTCTGGTACTATGATGCGAATATCTTTGAATTAAAGGCTTTAGGACCGGCAGTATGCTCTACGCAGATTCATGGCCCTTTTAATCCCACTGGGATAGAGCCATTTGAATATGAGGCTGTGGAGTGGTAGTGAGAAACAGAACGAGATTGATTCTGAAGCGCATCTCTCCTTATGGCGGGATATTGAGCACAAGAGGAGAGTATCACCTGCCGGCCGTCCATAGCTCTGACATTGAATCAACCAATTTCATAGATATCTCTATTAGAGAGAACAAGTTTATCATTGCATCTCAGGATAGATATCCAGCTCGATTCTCTTGTAATGTTGACACAGGTCATGTATGGTTGGTATGATGGTCTTTGAATAGATGTTATGTGTTGTACTAGCAATATTCCTCACATATACAAAAGTATGTCTTCCTTCATGTCTTATTATCTGAAATTTCCTTCTTCTCTACAAACCGCCAAGACGGCCCCGCCCCTAGCTCATGGGAGTATGGCTGGACAGGCAGCTCAAATACGGGCTGAGGGACTGCCAGCTCGGTGGGGCTGGTGGTTTCGTCTAACTGATGCACTACTTGGAGATTAGAGGCAGCGTATGCGTGCTTTTCCCACGCGTAGCCTCCACTCATGGAAGTCGGAGAACCGAATGAGCTCTGGTTGCTGGCGGATCCGTCTTCCGCCTCGGGTCGCTGCTGCTGGAGCGCTAGTTGCTTCCTGCGCCGCATGAAAACGACGGCGGCAACGATTGTGCCCAGAGCAATGGCGCCCAGCGAGACTCCAACACCAATGCCCGCCTTGGCGCCAGGACTGAGGCCAGTGTCGGCCGAGGCCGAATCTGTCGAGGAAGGCGCCGCCCCGGACTGTGTCGCCGGCGGCGGCGGGGGTGGTGCGACGGTCGACCACGCTTTCCAGAGTTTGTCCTCGTACTTAATCTCGCTGAGTTGTCCCTTGACCATGTAATAAATACGTACGTCACTGCTGCCCGAGTGGTGGGCAACTGCGAGATCGGCGTTCGGCTTGTCCGCAAGCGGCCAGAAGGCGTTGGATTGGTTGGCCTGCTGGGTCCAATACGAATTCTCGTCTGCCACTGAGTAAAGACTGCTGTCGTTGCCAATGTACCAGAGCAACCGTGTGCTCTGACCGTCAACGCTGATGCCCAGGGAAGTCAACTTGCCATCCCATGCCGGCAGGCTGAAGTTGGCCGTAGCCGTCTCATTGATGGCAATATCATTCCTGACTGTTTCATTTGTGGCGATGTCACCCTGTAGCACATGTGGTAGAGTTGCTAGGTGGCACGGTTAGTTTCGCGGAGCTGTAACGGGGATAGTGAGACAGTGAAGACGCATACATCTGTGCCAACTGTCATCTTTATGCCACCTCGTAATGGCAATGTTTTGATCGTCACGAGGAGAGGCAACGGTGATGTTGTCGTGGCTGCTAAATGCGGCAGCTAATGCGGGTAAGGAGTTGATATCCTGGGAGATGAGGCCACGATACTGCCAGTTATCCCGGGGTGTGTATCCCAGCTCGTTGATAGCGCCTTCGCGGTCATGATAGTAGACACGGTAACCGCTGTCTTCGCCAAGGAGGACAATAGCAAGACCTGTATCTTTATGGATGCTGGGTGCTTGACCGCTGACTATCCAGTTTCCTTGGCTCTGGAACAAGCCGGTGCTCATGTTGCATTCGAACAGGGCATTGGCAATGCCGCCTTCCTCTGCAATGTAAAATATCGACGCTCTAGGAAGAGACAAGTTAGCCATGAAGTCCGTCTGGGTGAGTATCAGAGACGTTACATTGTCGTCAACTGAGTCCACCATCCGGCTCCCGCCAACGGTGAGCCCGCTTTGGGCTTGTAAGTGAGTGAGAAAACACTGCCATCGGTGTACGAGTACTTTGGAATATCGTAACTGTTGCAGGAACTGTATCGGATGAGGCCAGTCGTCGCGTTCTGGAGGATGACCTGGGGTCCAATCTCGGTGAACCAGGCCGCGATGGCGGCTTGAGCTGGTAGCGCGGTAGCTCCCAGAAGGAGCAGTGTGGAAAAGAAGGACGCCATTGACAATATCGACCGTGGTTGAACACACACCCCGTGGGCCTCTCAACACGGTTATCCTCCGCCAGCGTCCAGCGCGCGTTGGATCGTCTTTGACGCTGATCAGTCAGGTTCGCTCGTCGCAAGGCAGGAGGATCCAAGCAACTGGAAACGAGGAAGAACAAATGCGAAGTCAAGGCCGCATCAGGAAGCCGAATGAGAAACAATGAGCAAACACACGGCCGGCAGTGTCAAATAAAAAGGGAGAGCAGCAAACGAAGAAGATGCGTGAGATAAGCAACCAATGCGACGGGAGCTTCCCTCCCGTGAGATTGGGACTCTCATCCTCAAGCTGACGGCGCTGGTGGCACGATACTACCTTCTCCTGGGCAGTCTGGAACCAGCGCCCTACAACGTGTGGACGGCATGTTTCCAGCCTTGCCTGCTACGGAATGTGATCAATCTAATTCGGACCTCGCCGCAAGCAAGCAGGGTCCGCATGTCGGGAGTTGTACAGATGATGGGATGCGGAGGCAGGAACGGAGCTGCCGTCCCGTGCTGGCGCTGCTGTGCCGCTTCAGTGGGGCCAGGGGCTCTCTAGCGGGCGGCGAGGAGACGCCGGGCGTCTCACTTCAGGCACATCTAGGTACCGATAGCGGCGTACTGCAATGTATCTTACAGGTGAGTTATACGCAGGATAGTACCGTACAGTACCTCTACCGAAACATTAGATTTGTATTCGTGCTCCCCGCACAGGACTTCCATCAACAAGTTCCTGGAAACAGGTTATATTATCTCACTAATCATCATTAGAGATCTTACGCGACGATGACAGACACGGTCATCGATGGATGGTAGGTTCGCTGATAAAGGCGTAATGTCAGCTTACATGGATAGGGACAATGAGGGCATCACCGTGCCTTAACAGATCTACACCACTATTCCCCCATACGCTGCTAGTGTACTGTAAACCTCCGGTCACAGCGTCATGTCAACGGCTAGGCAGCATCACTGCGAATGCGACGAATCATAACCCTCGCCCCATTTTCAGCCGGTTCAGCTTTCAGCTTCCCTATCTCACACATCCCCACAATGTCATGCCCGTCCAGTACGTGACTTGCGCAGGATGATATTCGTCCTGTATCCGTTTATCCCGACAGTATTGCCCTCTAGCTAGCATCGCCTATCTGTAAATAACATGGAAGTGAGGAGCGTCGTGGGTTTCAAGAACAAGCCCAATCCTCCCGGAGACCGAGATATCCCCAACCCAATCACTCAACGATAGCCCAAGTCAAGTCGCAAACCCAAAGCTCAGAGGCTTCAATAGCTCTCAATTCCACGCTTTACGTCCTTCGCTTTGAGTCCCGTCAGGTCAGGCTCAGGGTGATGGTACTGCGGCCGTCCCCCAAGGATATCCACAATCTCCTTCATGTCCCGCCAAAACGCCGCCTTGGGACGCCGATTAGGCCAGTCAGTCTCATCCTCCTCAAGCTTCTGGACGGGCGTAAATACGACGCTGGCGCCCTTGATGCCGATGACGGTAGCGCTCATGGGGTCCGTTTTAACCCTATTGTGCACATTCCGGCCAAACTGCTCCAAGTGTTGAATGCACCGAATGGCCAGGCGCACGGCGCGGCAGCGGTCCATGGGTGAGGGGACACCGCCCTGCTGCATGTGACCCGGAATCCCCTCGCGGCTCTCAAACCTCCCATGCGCCTCGTCACGGAGGATATCGGCTATCAGCTTCGCGGTATAGACCCTGGAGGCCTTCTCGTTGATCAGAATCAGCCGGCCGGCGCGGCTCTGGCCCTTATCTTGCGCAAACACCGATTTGAGATGCTGCACATCTGCCGCAAGCATCTCGAGGCTGATGCCCTCTTCCGGGGTGTAAACTGCCGAAGCGCCGACGCCGAGACCACCCAAGGTTGCGACGTAACCGGAGCGCCCACCCTGAGTCTCAATGACAAAGACACGCCGCCGGGTTGCGGATGCCGATTGCTTGATTTTGTCACAGTATTCGACCAGCTCATTGAGGCAAGTATCGGAGCCGAGTGAGTACTCGGTGCCGGGGACATTGTTGGAGATAGTGGCAGGCAGCAGCGTCATTGGGATGCACAACGACGGATACTGGTCTCTAGCCTTCCGCAGCTGGCAAACGGCGTGGAAAGCCTCGAACCCTCCAATGAGAAATAAGGCATCGAATTTGTACTGTTCGATTAGATTTGCGATGGTCTCCATGCCCGATTCGCTCGGGAGCTCTCGGTTGGTCCCGATCTCCGAGCCCCCCTTGCTTGCCCAACCATCAACCTCCAACCAGTCAAAGTCCCGGACCGCGCCCAGGGGCTTGTCTCCGTGATGTCGTGCAAACCCGGCGAAGCCGTTGTAGATGGCGACTGGTTCGTGTCCCCGGGATAGGCAGTACGCCACACCGGCCCTGACTGCGGCGTTCATGCCGCCAGCCGGGGCACCAACGTTGATAAAACCAATTTTCATTCGCTTGAGCAACTGTTAACAAGCAGCCAGTGGGATCAGCTTGGCACTACCACCTACCTCCTTTTCCGGAAGCATCAGGTGCTCGTTCATCTGGACTGCGGTAGTCATCATGAACGACCGGTACTGCTCCGAGAACTCGGCATCGCGTAGCGACATGGCCTCGTCAAAATCCTGCCGCTCAATCGCCCGGGCCACCTTTTTCGTGTCTTGCACTGCTTGCATGAGTGGCTTCCGCACAATCTTGTTCTCGGTGATAGCGATGACGCATGTCGGTGTTTCAGGCGTGGCGTCCAAGACGGCTTTGACGGCCTCGACGCCTTGCAGGGTTGCGAGCATTCGGTCATAGGCCACGGCCGTTCCTCCTCGTTGAACATGACCCAGCGTTGTGATTCTGGTGTCGAGACCGAGACCATTCTTGTCAGCCAATAGGTCTCTAATCATATCGGGCGTAATCTTATTCCCCTGTCTGTCAAGCGCGCCTTCGGCAATGATCACTATGGTTTTGCGCTTTCCGAGTTTCCGGTGCTGTCATTGGGTGTTAGTTTCCGTCGCACACAGCATGGAGGGCTTGTAACACAAACATGGTCGACAATGCCGCACATCTCTTCTCTCCAGTTGTCCTCCCTAGGCTTCTCCGGGATGAAGATGAAATCAGCGCCAGTCGCAACCCCGGCCATCAACGCCAGCCAGCCGCAATGCCTGCCCATGACCTCAATGACAAAGGCACGTGAATGGGACGATGCAGTGGCCTCGATGAGATCCACGGCATGGCAGATCCTCGCGAGCGCCGAGTAGCATCCGATAGTGGCATCTGTGCCAGATAGATCGTTGTCAATGGATCCAACGAGGCCGACGATGTTGAGGTGCTTGTAGTGCTCGAGAGTTTCGGCGGTGAACTCGCCGCTAGCCTGAAGCTCTTCTATCAGCGAAGGCCATTCGGCGCGGAACCTGTCAGCTCCGGTGAGCGAGCCGTCACCCCCGCAGATGATAAGTGCGTCAATGCCTTGACTAATCAAATTCCTGGCCGCGGCCAGGCGGCCGGCGCGCTCGAAGAAGGCCATGCACCGGGCGGTGCCGATCAAGGTACCGCCCTCGGACAGCCAACCACGGACGTCGTGCCACTCCATCTTTCGTATCAGGTCACCACCTCGCACTAAGCCTTCATAACCCTCGTAGATGCAATAGGCGTCGCAACCCATGTGGATGGCCATGCGGACACAGGCCCGCACCACACCGTTCATGCCCGGCGAATCCCCGCCCGAGGTCATGATGGCGATCTTTTTTTTCACGGCCATTTTGGATGGTGCGGAACCCTTGCGTGAATTAGAATCCGCGGCGGGCGACAAAGTCCGCTGGCTCCGAAAGAGCAGACCGACGGGGATCGAAAGGAGAACGAAGGCAAGAAGTGTTGGGAATGGATGGAAAAGGGCAGAAAAGGGCCGAGCGGAAAAGTTGATGCTGGGAATGGGCATGCTCCAGGCGGCCTTGCCTGGCGGGGAACAAGGTTCTAGTCAAGAGGGCGCGGGGTTCTGAGGAGGAATCGAAGAGACTGGGAGTTTATTTCATTTTCCTGATTTCCCGCGTGGAAGAGCCCCCCAAAGACACGATTTCAAGAATTGCATCGGACGAGGTTGATCGAAACAGCACCACCCATTTGAAGTCCGACTCCAGGAGCTCTTATCTTATCGGATCGCGGGGCACAACTACTAAAACACCGCAAAAAGAAACATTGGCTTGATTTGGTTGTGCACCGGAGGCTGGGCAGAGATCAAAATCCCTCTTACACTTGGCTATCATATTTAACATCAAATCTTTTACCGTTTGGCCGCATTGTGCACGATTGCTGTCGTCGTACGGGCTGTAATGATTGAAAGCTATATGTGAGGGGTTTAGTGACAAAAATGACATAACTGCTTGATGTAACGCTATGGATTAGGTGGGTCACAGTGGGATTATCCAGCAAGGTCCGGGAGTTTTGGCGCCCTGATGCAGGGGTACTGAGTGACAAGCCTATGCAATTTGCACTGTTTCCATCGACCCTTAACCATCACAATCTCCCTCGACTCCCACAAGCCCAACATACCACACGATGAGCGACAGACCATTCTCATTGCAGCCGCGGCCCACGCCGCAGCGTGGGCCGCAGAATATCGTCGATTTCATCCGGCGAGTAAATGCCGAGCCCGGCGGGTTTCGAAGCCTAGACTCGGCCGATCTGCGAAGGCAAATCGAGCGCCAGTCGAGCGGTGCCGACCGCGATGACGAAGATGTTGACATGGCGGGTGCTACCTCCGAGGCGGATAGCGACGTCGCCGAGACGAAGGATGTTGCCGCCGCGCGAGACGAGGTCCTAAAGGCCATCCACATGACGCACCAGACGTCCATGTTCGCCCTCGACTTCGTCTCCCTTCTGCTCTCCAAGGAGAATCCTGCACAGGCCGTCACCACTTTCAGTCACGGTCTGCGCGAACTGGTCGGCGTCGGCACCCTCGGTGCGACAATGCTCGAAGCACCCACACCTCTTACCCTGAATAGAGTCCCCGACAACAAGATGGTGGCGATTGGAAAACGTCTGATCGACCTCAACAAGGCTGCGGACACTGCTCTTGCCGCCTCGAAGAGACTGCAGCAAGAGATTGGCTCTGAGACCAGGTACTGGTCTGAGGTGCTGGCAGTAAGCAAGGATGGATGGCGGACTTTCCGGCTGCCTCATGAGACCCACACCATGGGAGTCAAGTTTGGGTTTACGAACACTGCCCCGGAATTCAAGATCAACAGCATCGCGCCCATGAGGAGAGCAGAGAATGGATCGGTTCAGCTGGAACATGGGAAAATGGGCAGCGGCTCTAAGCGTCTCCAAGTCAGCATTCTGGAGAATGGTGTCGTCGTCGGCAGGTCAACACTACCACGGCCCTTGCCCGGAGACGCCCCGCTACAGGATCGTGTGAAGGAGGCACGAGATACCATATTTGCCCAGGAGCTATGGCATGAAATCAACAGGGAGGGCCGCACATTACTTAGCCGAAATCTCCGTTTGGATAAGAATGCCGTGGCCTACACCTTGGACGCCACAAGAACAATTTCCATACGGCTGGCATCTCTAGATGACACTGATGAAGCGCAAGTTGAGCAGCTAGGGCCCCAAGATGCAATAGCAGAGTCGCTATACATCACCCTGTGTTTGCTCCTCAGCGCCGCCCATAGGTTGAACGAACATAGACGGTCGGAACCCAGCGCAAGTAGAGGACCTCCTCCAGCATATTCCCTTCTCACACCCATCATCTCTTATTTGGAGTACGACAAGAGCGTTGAGCAGTTTGTGCGCTTCCTAACCTCCTTCACCAATGTTCTCCGCTCCGCCGGCCTAAGCTCTTCCATCACCATGAAAGAGCCACCCCTCGGCACACCACCCGGAGTACCAGCCTCAACAGCCCTGGTTGCCGTCCTGCTTAGGCCACCAGCAGTCCAATTCGATCTGACAATCACCCCAACCTCCCGTCTGAGAATAATGGTCAGACCTTCCCAGCTCTATGGCGCCCAATTCGCCGTCCATTGCCTTCCCCCTTCACTCCCCGGATCTCAAAACCCGCTCACGAGCATATGCCCGTCCGGCGTAGAAGAATTTGACCGCCTTACGGAGCTCTCCTGGTACCTCTACCGCGCTGTGTCCCGCGCGCTGACTGCGCATTACTACGCGGCGGCAGCCCCGACCGAGCAGCCGCCCAGCGACGTCAATAACGACGAGCAGCGCCCAAGAACAGGCTGGGGTGTTGACACGAGCCACGCCGGGCTGGTTGACTATTACAGCGGCGAATATAAGCTCAACTTTGATTTTTCTGCGGATCCGGCCACCGGCCGTCCAGAGCTCCGTGTTGCGGCGAACTATCCGGAGGTGGGCAGGACGGTACAGCGGAAGTGGACATGGCCCGGAGAAGGCAACTTGGACGAGATCGTTAGACATGTGCTCTCATCAACCGGCGTGCCGAGCACTTGATCGGTGAATGATACACATGCCCTGCACTTGAATGGCCGCCTGGGAGATATCGATACGCTGGCGCCAAGTGTCATAGATACCCTGTGGCCCCGCGAGGCCGCATAGTAGTGGGATAAAGAATGCAGTCGGCACTTCGAAAGGTGATGATGTTGATGGAGCGGAGGGGGCGCTGCACACCGGCACTGCATCCTCACACCGCCGTGAAACGCGGCGAGGGTCGCAAGAGGCTCAGCAAGCCTGCCACAGCAGAAGCGGACGAGACCCCCATCGGAAACAGCGGCGTGGCCCGAACGACACAGGACTAAGCACCATCCCGGCACAGTCCACCTACCCACGTTTTAGGGCCAAAGAGCAACACAAGTAGATAAACAGCGGTCAAATCAAACGTAGGGCTCGTTTCCCAAACACAATCAACACATACAGATTGACAGAACTTGTAAAATTGTGCTCAGAGTATCTCACATGTGCCTTTCAGTGCCCAAGTCTATGTTAAAATCCAGAGATAACCAACGAAACCAAGAGAAGGGGGAATATCCATTCTGCAATCCAGCGTTGACCACTTCCACTGCGCGGCTCAACCCCTTCGTACGAGACCATCCAACCCCCTCCTTTCGGGACCAAAGCAAACATATGCGTAAAATGAAAAGCATCCTTTTTTATTGCAGGCATTTAGTCATGAACGTCGTTAGGGAAAACATGAGAAGGCCGTTACACACAATCCATGCCATCCATCATTCATTAGAATCCGAACCAAGGAATGAAGGGCAGGCAAAAAGGGATGGGAAAGAAGAGGGAATGCAACATGAGAAAAGGAACCAATCAACATGAACAACCCGCTTATAGCCAAGAAAAACCATGAGAAAACCAACAATGAGAAGTCAACCATCAAAAGTCATCAACCCCAAGTTTCCGCTCCGGCTCCCATGCCTAGGCTTGCTTGCTTGCTTGCTTCGACGTTGGCGACGACAACAAGACAGCAAGCTTGGTATCGCCTCGCCTAAGCCCAGTCATGTCGAAAAGAATCTGAACGTCATCACAAGCGTCGTATAATCACCGGCCAGCTTAGCTTCCATCCCGTGCCCGCCGGCGTATCGCCCTTGTCAAGGTGTGAATGAAAAACGGCCTCCTATTCCAGCACAAGGTACCGGCGGCCCTAGTGCCGGTACAGCTTTCCGGGATGGCGGCTATCATAGATGATTTCGTGCTCGACGACGCGCTCGTCGTCAAAGTGGTCGACCGAGTAGCGGTGGCGGTGGTGGTGGTGATGGTTGCGGTGCTGGACGTCGTCGCGCCACTCGCGTTCCCACTGGATTTCGCGGGCACGCTCCTTGCGCGCCGCGCGGATCCGATCGGACAGGTCTACGAGGCGTTGGACGTCGTCCTGTTTTTGGTTGGTTGAGGCCACGTGGTTAGCAAGCTGTCGATCTGCTTCAAGCCGCAAGAGCGGAGGCTGTTCCTGAGAGAGAGAAGAGGAGAGAACTTACAGGAGTGAGGTAGTCGACAATGTAGTAATAGCGCTCGGTTTCCTCGAACTCATAGCCCAGCTCATCGATAGCCTCGCGCGTGACCATGTCCCTCGGGATCTCGGTCCACATCGAGTCGTTCCTGCGGTGCGGTGTGGGTGGAATTGAGCCGCTGCGGACGGTGACACGTCGATCCGTGACCTTTTCGATTTCAACCTCACGGTCTTTGCCGCGGCCGTCCTTGTCGATGATTTGTACGCTCAGGCGCCTATCCTGGTCCCGCTCCCGGCCTCGAACATCCGTCACGCTTGTCGATGATGAAACGACAGAGCTCTTCTCATCGCGGTCTGGGATGAACTTGGCGCGTCTTGCGCCGCTGTATTTCGTCCATGTCACTTCGGCAGCCGCGCCGCCGGCGCCGTCCATGATTACACGCTCCGTTCCGGGCGGCACGTCGATGAGGGCCCAGTCCTGGGTTATGCCGTTCTTCGCTTCACCCATTTTGCCCCGCGCGGTCACTTGATACATGATCTCCCTGGCTTCGTCGTCGTAGTGGGTCGTCGGCGGAGCGGCCGAGTGGGCACGGCGTCCCCTGGAGGTGCTCCGCCGGCGCTCAATGTCCACGTGAAGGTGCTTGCGGTCACTCTCAACCAGCACGTCGTCCTCCCATCTCGGGCGGCGTGAGACCCGCTCCCGAGAGATAGATCGTCCACGACTGTGGGAATGGTGGTTCCTGCGGATGTCGATCTCCGTGTCTCCTCGAGATGTGACAATGTCAATCTCGGTGTCACGATGACGCACCGGGGGTGGAGGAGAGGGTGGTCGCGCAACGACCATGCCTGCTAACTGTCAGAGATGCGGTCTTGAAGAAGCGGAAGCTCATCACTCACCATGATCGATGTCCCGGTAATGCGTGATAACTTCTCTCTCAATCGTCGGCCCTTTGATGACCTTGGGCGGCGGTGGCGGCGACGGAGGCGCGGGGATCCTTTCCTCCTTTCTCTCAACGATCCGAATATGCTCCCGTTCCGATGAACGAGACCGCGACCGGGAGCGTGACGGTTGGATAAACCGGATCCTCTCGGGGCCAGGGCCACGGCTTGGCTCCCTAACGACTTTTCGAATGCGCACATCTTCCTCAAAGCGTCTGGAAGGGCTGACGCTCCTAGCGCGCTCAACTATGCGCTCGCGGTACCGGATTGGGCTAGGGGACCTTTGGCGGGGCCGCTCGACCGTCTCAACCTCTCTTTGTCTGAGCACCAGCGGACCCGGCTCGGGCCTCCTATTCTCCTCCCGCATGAAAGCCGGCACACGCTCCCGCGACCGCTCCCGCACACGGACGTCCAGCTCATCATATTCTCGAACAGGGGCGCGACGTGGGATATCCCTGATATACTCGCTCTCGCCGAAGTCGACCCGACTTCTGGACATGGCTGCTGCTTGGTACTGCGAGCCGTTCTGTGATAAGTGTCGTGGCTGGCGGGCGGACAAAGCGGGGTTCGCTGACCCAGGTAAACGTAAGACTTTAGTGGGCTGGTTTAGCAGTTAGAGGCCTAGAGAGGGCCAAACAAGTACTGTTTGTGAGGACCAGGCGTGAAGTTGCCAATATATTTGTCTGGTTCACAACAAACTGGAGCTTTTGCGAGGGAAAAGAAGCAACCCAACCGGTCTGCGGCTGTGACGTTGGTCGGTCTTGGGGAGGTTGGAGGGACGAGTGCAGTGGATGGGCGGGAGCCAAGGCGGGGCAGTGACCAATGTGACCAGGGACCTTGGCAAGCTTGACCAAGCCTCCTCAGTCTCTTGTCACTCACTGTCTTGGTCTCTTATGTCACAAATTCACGACGTAGGCCGTGGAATAGTCCAGAATCCAAAAATCTAGGGACGTCCGCCAGTATTAAGATAATCGACGAAAGATGTTTGAAACGGAAGCCGCAAAGCAACCTATGCCGCCACAAGACTGGCTCGTGCTGGTGGTCGGTTTCCAGGTCTTGGATATTAAAAGTAGCCGCAAAGAGGTGAGAGCCTGAGAGGGAATGAGAGCTGCTTGGTTGCTCCTTCGCTACAGAGAACTGGGTTTGGGGCCTGGGGAGGTTTCAGGGTCTGACCTGGTTGGCGGTGCTGGCCAGTCGTCCGGGATTTTAATTTGGGCTCGAAACCAACGTCGTCATCCCACAGCAGCGGCATCGGGTTTTGCAAGCGCCCTAAAAATCGGCGCCTACAGTAGGTCCTGAGGCTACATAGGACAGACCTGCACCCTCGTTTTATGTAACGCCATTTTTCTGCCCGACTTCCCCCTAGTTGGTGCTGGGTAAAGCTGTCTGCGAGCCATGCATGAGAGCAGCGGCTGGCGTTGGAAAAAGGTAACTAAATTCAGTGGGTCAGTCAAGAGCAATGAGCACGACGGGATGAACATGAATCGGGGCTTGGCCAGCCCTATCAGCCTAGGTCAGCCACAGCAGTAGACACTGAAAAGTGGCTTGAAGCCCAAGGTGCAAGTCAACATCTGCCAGCAAAACTACGAAAACATTAGGTTCCTTCCCGTCTCTCTACACTATCCAAACGATGATTTCTATGATCACAGAAGCAGCCCAAATACCGAGTGTGGTGGTCAGTCGCAGTCCGACGACGAAACAAACACGAGGGTGTCTCAGCAGGTGGGCCTTGGCGCAGCATCGCCGCACGGTGGATGCCATCCCACTGCCCGAGCCTCGTCCCAGGCGGGCACGCGCCAACTAACCTGACAAGGCACCCACTTCAAGTTCACTCTCACAATCTGCTGAGGCTCGTGTCTGACAGAAAGGACAAATGTCAACCAATTACCCTGTGCTGAACCGCTTGAGTCTGCGTCAATCCGGCCAGGGCCGATGGAGGACTTCAACATACCCACACACCTAGACCTTCCCAGCCTCCTACACGAATGGCCTTATTAGCGGTGAGGTTGCGATATCCCCCATCTACTGGGGACGAACCCTACGTTACCCGGTGGAGTGTGCATGTGCTTCGTATGATAAGACCAGACCACGGGACTCCCTCGAAAGCGAGACACCCAAGAGCTACCAGCTAGGAGATGATGATGTAATGATGCATAGCACAAGCGGCATGTCACCTCCCAGCTGCCACCATGACTGGCTCCGTCGTGCCCAATCACCTACCTGAGTCCAACTGCCCAAGAAAAGCCCTGCCTCGACATGCTTCAGCGTCATTGTCACCTCCTCTACAGTCCACAGTCCACACAGCCTTGCCGGTTTCTGGTTCCACAAGATACCAAGAGACAGAAACAGAGTCAGTTTAGATGCCCAACAACCAGGAGCAGAGGACAAAAGCACCTGCAGATGAGTGGTGTTAAGGCATAATAAGCGTAGATCTTCACGTCGCCCAAGCCCAATCCAACGATCTACGTTGTGTTGCAGGGCATGTACGGATATAGACGACAACCCCTCGGCATTTGCGGCGGCTCGCGGCGTAACCACTGTGGCGCGCTCCCGGATCCGGCCCATCCACCAACCCCAATCGACCCTGCGCCCCGGGTCTGTGACCCATTCCTCTGCTTCCATCGTTCATACACTACACTACACGAAGTCCCAGATTGCCGAGGGCAGAGGAATACTCTAGAAATCCCTGCATGTTTCGTTTCGACGATGCATGCCCCCTCGTCAAGGCCTGCCTACCGTCATGCCGGAGCTGGCCTGAGCATCCAAGACCTGTTGCACTTGTGTAGTACACTGAGTAAGTTTTCACCATCTGGCTCAGTATGCGAAGGAGCACAAGACAGAAGAAAATCGGGCTTTTGCGGGCCTCTGGCTCCAATTCAGATGGATTGCCCGTCTCCCTGATTGAACTTGCTACTATACACTGCCTCTGTTGGCTTCTGTGACCGTCCCGTCCCCCAGATCTTTTGAGCAAATATTACAGCGGGGTCGGGCACAAAAAACAAGGACAAAAACCATGAAAAATTGAAGGAGACGGTCGAAAGAGACACAGGCCAGGACGGGGGCAGAGGAGCAAGAAGTACAGCGACCGCATTCCTCTCGTGCGGAGTGAACCAGGGCTCATTGTACGACATGCCGGCCTCCAAGCACGTTGACGCTCCAGCAGATACATGTCCGTTAAGCCTCCCTGTATGTAATCAGCAACCATCCTAGAGTCAGAAGAAGTAAGTACTTACGACTTCTTGCCGCGCTTCTTTGGGGCAGTTGCCGTTCCGTTTGCAGCCTTCGCTTTACGAGCCTTCTTCATATTCGGTGTGGGCGGTGCCTCCTCTTCCTCCGCCTCGGGTTCGGTCCCGGGCTGGGGCTCGGGCTCCTGCTCCTTCTTTACACGCCTGCTCTTAGCAGATGTGGTTTTCTTGACCGGAGTCTCCGGCGCCAGTTCGTCCTGGTCCTCATTCTCCACAACAGCGGCAGCCGCTTTGGCGCCACGTTTGCCCCTCGCTGCCTTCTTGGGCTTCTCTGGCTCCGGCTCGGATTCAGGCTCCGGCTCAGGTTCAGCCTTCTTCTTGGCAGCTGCAGCCTTTTTGGGTTTCTTTGCCGGACGTTCCTCCTCGCCCTCCTCTTCCTCAGCCTCAGCCTTCTTGCGACCACGCTTGGCAGGGGCTTTCTTGGACTTTGCTTTGGTATCCTGTGGAATCGTCAGACTTCCCGTTGAGATGCTGTACGAGACAGAAACAAGACACATACCTCACCGCCCGCTTCCTCTTCCTCTTGACCGCCCTTGGTCTTCTTTTTCGGAGCGTGGATACCCCTCTGGCCGGGGACGTTCATCTCAGGGTCCTTAAGAGCAGGCGTCCATGTTAAATCATCGATCGTTGACCTGGGCAAAAAGCGCAGGTACTCACTCCTCTGAAATCCTCGGGGTCGATATGGCCCTGATTCAGCACTTGGCGTATCTTCTCACGCACATCCTCATGGTCCCTTGGATCAAACCGCCACAATCAGCACCACCTAACCACCAGGATCCGAATGAAACAAATTCAGAGCACCCAAGACAAGACTCACTCAAGCTCCTCCCATCCGTCAATCATGTCCCAGTTATACTCGTCATTGTCATCTTTGCCGATCTTCTCCTGGATATTCTTGATCTGCTCTCCCGAGACGCAACCCCTATAATCACCACGCCACGGCCATCGCCACCGCTTGTTAGACCAGACAGTTACCGCGGTTCAAATTCATAGATGGAAAAGAATGGTATGGGGGAGGGGAGAGGGAAAAGGAAAGGTAGGGAAACAAATAAACATACCAATGGCGCCACTGCCAGCTACCATGGTCCTTAATCACAACCCACGTTCCCAGGCGCAGTTCGCCCTTCATGATCTTGGTGCCGGCATCCTTGCAGACCTTGTCTTTACAGCCTGCGCGGTTGTTTTCGGAGATTTCTGTTTGTGTGCTTGGTTAGCTGGGAACGTAGCACGGCATAGCTGACATGGAAAAAGACGCGCGCAGGCAACGGCCACGGCGACAGTTCCGCAAGGCAACAAGTAATAAGTCGTAGTGTAGTGGCAGGTAGATGAGGAGGGCAGCAGAGAGGAGAGGTGAAGATGATACGGCGTGAACTTTGAAGCAATCCGTCGAATATACATACCGATGCGGTAAGACATCTTGGGCAGATTCCTCTGCTCAATGGGAGATTATGAGAAGAGACTGTCTGTTTCTCAGAGATTGAGGTGGAAAAGTCGGCGCTGATAAAAGCTTGGGATGCCAATCCAGATCAGTCGCGCGCCACTGACGATATGCCAGTGATTTGACGATGACTGGTTGAGCGACGCGTCTGCCCAAGGCCGCAGTGTTTATAATTGGAAACTTCAGAGAAAATTGAGTATTGGGTGGAGGACCTTGAATGAAAATGTGAGGAGGAAAAGACGCGGTCAATGAATTTCTAGCCAACCATCCATAGAGGCCCGCCTAATTAGGCACTTTTGCTGGGAAGATTGGAAGGTGCGATGGTGAGGAACAACCGAGGTGGTTGGCGCGTCATGCGGTGGCCTTCATCCAAGCTTGGCGGGGTTTATCACTGATAATTGATGAAAAGCACAAAGCAGGAAAAGACCTTGCGTTCCAGGTTGCCTTTTGGGGGGAATTCGATCTTTAGACCATTGGTACTAACATGGACAATGGGTGAAGTGGTTGCAGTAGTCGTTGTGTCGTACGTTGTGTTTACCCATCCCTCCTTAACGAGTGCTTACGATTTTTGGTCATCCACTCGTCTCTTAATTAGCTATACAATCATCTCTTAGCCATACACTCGTCTTGTTCCGTATTTGCATCCTCTAACTAATGTGTACGGAACCTCTGACAACGATTACAAAAACGGACACCATCCGATATACATCGCCGCCAAATTCTTCGGGTTCACCGCCTGCTTGATCAGCTCCTCCACCTGGCCCTCTACCCCCAGCGGTATGCTCTCGTCAGGTAACAAGCCCCTGACCTTGCGCCTGATGCTCTCGACCACGCTGGTCGGGTTGAGCTTGACTACCTCATAGTTCTTCTTCTTCGTCCTCTGCAAATCCAGCGTAGGATCGTAAATGAAGGCCTCAAGAATCGTCATGAGCGTCTCTTCCTGCTGCCTCAGGATGCGCAGCGTCAGCTCGCTGCAGTGCCTAAACGGCCCTTCGTAGCGATAGATGCCCATGGCGGCCTCCATGTTGTGCGTGAGACGGAACGGTACGCGCTCGGGCTGCCTGAATGTGAGACCCTTGTCAAAGAGGCAGTTGAAATCGACGTGGAATATGCCGCCGTTACCCTCCTCGAGGAGGACATTCTCGCCGTGCCGGTCGCCCAGTCCCAGGATCGTGCCGACCATGGACATGACTGCGCACGAACGGGTGTATTTCAATCGAGCCGCAAACCAAGCAGACGGGTCTGGGAACTGCGTGATAAACCAGTCTGGCAAAACGGGTGGGAACGTACCGAGCACATCCTTGGTGAACAAGTGTATGTTATCGTCGGAAGAGACGGCTTGCTCCATTTTTTGCGCAATCTCGGTGTAGTTTGGCTGAATATTGCGCGTCTTGTAGATGCCCAGAAGGATATCGCGCAGCGTCTTGAGCCCGTCGACCCACTCAATGATGCCACACTCTTCGTTGAGCGGCGTGACTGCATATGTCCTGATGTACAACTGCCGTCGGCTCGACTCAGCATCGCGCTTGAGCGAACGATTGATCAGCCCGTTGAATTCCATCAGACGCTGGTCAGTCCGAAGGTCGTCCTTCGGCTTGATTAGGAGGCCATAAAGTTTGCCGTCTGATCCCCTCGCCGTCAGCTTGCGTGGCTTTGCCAGCGAGCCTAGAACCAAGACCTGGTCGAGGAACGAGTCGATCGTGACGACATCCCTGGAGAAGGCCTTGTGCTTCCTGACATTGTCCGTCAAGGTTGGCAGCGTGGCCGTCAAACAAGCTTCAACCGGCACCACCAGAGGACAAGGGGTAACCTTGTGATTGAAGTTCAGGTCTCTCGTGATGCTGGCCATTATCGTCCTGTTGCTCTGAAAATCTCCGTTGTGGCAGGCGAGGAGAAGCTGCTCAATCAGCTTCTCGCCCATCCTTAGCAGCGGCTTCCACTCATACGTTCCGCCCTCGACCTTTTTCGTCATCCCGCGAACAGCTTGCAGGATCATGATCCCGCGAGTGCGCCGCTCGCTGTACTGCTTCGCTGTCATGAGTGGACAGAGGCTCCAGAGGGCCTGCTGAGGATGGGCTTGAACCACCTTCAAAATCATTTCTTCCAGCACGTTGAACACTTCGGGGTTCGGATGTGCTATTCTTGCTACAATCTGCGGAAGCGCAGTGTAGAAAATGTATGCAGGCATACGGGCCATGTGCTTTTTGATGTGCTTGCAAACCTCTGAAAGTATGGCCTTCCTACGATTGTGCAGCTCCCGAGACAGCGAGATTTTGCCATCTGGCGCCTTGTCAACTTGAGCACCCAGCTCAAGGAACAGCGTCAGGATCCGTGGCAGCGTCTGCGATAGGTATTTAGTCCCAAAGTTGAGCGAGCGAAGATAGTTCTCAATAACTAGCTTCGCAGTCTCGCCAGTCAGGTATTCATCTGACTGATCATCCGGCTTGAGTCCTTGCTCGGATTCAAGGACCTTTTTGTAGTGGCGGCCGAGGTAGTAATGACCTTTCTCCCACTGGGGGTGCGTCTTCGCTGCTTGCTGATACTGCGACCGCAGCGCGCTGGCATGTGTTTGACCTGTCGAGTCAAGCCATTTTGCAAGGAGTAGTTGCGCTCTTGCGCTCAAAAGGTTCCGCTGAGTCTCTGGGCTTCTACTTGGAGTCGGCGGCATACTGTCAGTGGTTTCCGTCATGAAAGAGTTGGTGTTGATAGCGAGCTGCAAGACTTGGATTGCCTTGCGATGGTGGCCGTCTTTGTACAGCAACCTGGCGTTCTCGATCATTGCAGAGCCATCACCAAGCTGCTGGGCATGCAGCACCGCGTTGAAGGACTGGTGCATTGACCCGGCCTTTCGCGCCAGTCTGGCACTAGACAGCCACTGCGAAGATATGTCCTCATTTCCGAATCGAGGTCTGACAAATCAGCAAAAGCCTGGGAATGGGACACATAAAGGCACGTACCGCATCAACTCCATCGCAGCTCGTCTCACTCCAAGCAGGTACTGCTTGTCGCTCACATACGCCCCAAGCACCTCCAACCTGCGATCCAGCGCCGTGAGCACAACATGCTGGTCTCCGTCTCCCTTGAGGTTCTCATTTGCAATCATTTCCAGGTCGCTGAGGACATGACACCTGAGCATGGCGTCGTGGCATGCCCGAAGCGACGATGTCGCTGAGTATGTCATTGAACCAGCTACCTGGTCTCGCAGCTTCTGGACACGCTCCTTAAACTTCCCCACGTCTCCATCCTTGAGGCATAGAAGAGCTTGCCCGATACCAAGGTCAAACACTTCGGAGATGTCTCCTCCGTTGTAGAGGCGAAGATACTTCTCAAGGGTCTGCCACCTGCCGGTCGCCCATGAGGCCTCGACGGCAAAAGGCGCAATCCTGTTCACGTTATTCACTGTCCGCTCCATTCCTTCAACATAGTTCAAAAGGACATCTGTACAAAGACGTCAGCAGAGACCAAATTTAGTAGGCCTAGAGTAGACTGACCATGTTGCCCCGATTCCTTGAGACATGTCAAGAGATCCACCTGGATATCCTCATCCTCAGGTGACTCGGCAAGCCGGATCTCATACCAAGTCTGCGCTGCGGTCCAACGGCCCGCTTTGCGATGGGTGAGGGCCTGCTGATCCAACGTGACGTGCTGCAGGTGCGCCGATACGCCCTCAAGTCCATCGGGATCGTCAATTTGTGTGTAAATGCTTTGCAATGACTGCAGGATCCGGTCATTCTCCTCCTTTTCAGCACTTTGCCTGCGATTCTCGATATGGGGCTCCAAAAAGAAAAGCGCTCGGGCATATTCCTTGCAGTCCACAGCTCGTTGCGATATCAACTCGGGATCAAGGGAGCCGATGACACCCTCGACCAGTTTGATCCAAGTCTGGTCCTTGGCTGTCAAGGGGCGAGATTTCTTGACCTGCATCCATCTCATGCAGTAGTCGATGATTCGAAACACCGCCTTCTGTAGTGTCAGCGAGGATTTGCGAAGCCGCGCGTATTAGAGACACATACCTGGTAGAACAGCTTTGTTTCTTCCCTCTCAATATAGGATGCCGCCTCTGAGGGCTGATGCTTGAGAATTGCTATCAACTCTGCCGAGATCTTGGCTCTCAAGGTATCAACCTGTTCTTGCCCAACAATGACATGCAGAACAGCGTATGGCAACAGGAACTCGGTAACGGTGAGATCCTTGACTTTGATAAGCCGGAAAAGGGGTTCAAAGACAGCCTGAGCGAAGAGATTCTGGCCGTGTTGTAGCAGATCATGAACAAAGGCCCTGATCCAGATGGCATATGACCGTCCCGGCCTGAATATGGGATATTCGGTCGTTGGCGGCGGCATGGGTACAACCACGAATCTTGACGACAAAAATGGCGTCAGCACCTCCCGGGTGTTTTCGGAGAAGGCGAGCCATTTCCTGTAAATGGGCTCATGGATTTGCTGTCCCTCAGTGGTGCAGGCAAACCTAAAGTCGGTCCTGTTCAGGAGCTCCTGCATAGCATATGAAAGGAACCCTTGGAATTTGGTGTCGGTTGTCGACAGAAAGGCTTTGACAAGCACATTCTCGAGCAAAAACGCCACGAAGTCAGTTGTCTCGCGAGCATCCTCAAAATTGTGGACGACGACAAACTGCTGCTGTTCCCGCGCAGTTTCCAGGCGATTCGAGTCCAAGCAGCCGATGAGTCCAATAGCCCGGGCACACAGACGGGTGATATCAAGCAGCCAACCGTTGTACTTGGCAGAGCAGTCGAGGAGCGACCTTGCGAGAGTGGTGACAACGGGATCTGGCTGCTCGCTGATGGCAGATGATTGGAGGTAGTCTTGGTTTTGCTCGAGGTATGCTACTAGCTCGACTAAGGCCTGTTCCACCACTCCCGGATTTTCGTGGCCAAGGCGCTGAGCAAAGATGCTAAACGCATCCCTGTTATCTAGTGGTGAGCGCAGGTTATCCAGAGCCTTGCACAGCTCTGAGAGTTCGTCAATATGGCTCAATGAAGGCAGCCTGTGGGCGTACTCAACCACGATGCGTTGATGTTTGTTGAGTAGGGTAGTAATCAGAGCCTTGGCCTTCTCTTTCGTTGCTTCATCGAAGAATTTCCAGTAATAGCCGATGATGTAGAAGGTCGTTTCGATTTGCGCTTCCACATCTGCCTCTTCCATTTCGGTGAGCATGACTTCCCAGCAAGAGAAGGCGGCAGATCTGAGTTCATCAGACGCCAGGGCAGAGACGAGGCAGGCAGATATCTAAATAGTTGGTAAGCATGGATTTCAAAAGAAAGGCTAGCGAGGGCACATGCCTGTGGTCGGGCTATGCACACGTAAGACTTGCAAACCCTAATCATCTCCTCCATGGCGCCGAGACATCGCCTCTGCTCCGAGACAGGAGGACTCAGAGGCAGGTTGTCGGTGATGACCTCGCTCAGCCGCGCGGCCAAGCCGAGTGCGTGTTGTTGGAGATAGCGTCCAACCATATGTGACTTCTTGGCTCGTTTGTCCTTTTGGTCGGCTAAAAGGAGACTCGCCATTGTCGTGAGGGCATTTCGAACCTAGATATTATCAGTTTGTTTGAGTTCCATGTACCGAGCTGTTCGACTTACCCTAGCCTTCCGAGCCTCGTTGGACTCTGCCGCAGCCTTGAAGAGCTCAAGGGCAATCATGAGAGGGTCCGTCCGGAGAAGCTCCACCAACTCAAACCCCTCCAAGTGAGGAGACACATGACCAAGCAATGACATTGTATGCGCGACTATATCCGGCACGTCCTGCACGAGGAGGAGAGCTAGGATGGACGGGAGATTGGTCGGATCTAGACAAGGCTGCCAGGCCTCAGTCTCGCCCCTGGCTTCTGCGATCTTCTGGATTACCTCCCTCTTCTTTGTGAGCACCAGCCAGGGAAGGGCATGTCTCTGGAGCATTCGCAGAAGGCCCGGTACGCTCATCTGCAGCAACTCGGCTACTCTCCCTGCAGTCTGCGGCTTGGAGACGAGATCCTTGACAACAGAAAAGGCTAGGCTTGCCCAAAAAGGCTGGAGGAGGCGCCCTGGTGTCTCCCCCCGTGAGTCGGCAAGACTGAGAAGCTCGTTAAACGCAAAAGCAGGTACTATCATATTGCGATGTCCGAGATATTCCACAAGCTTGATGACAACAAGGTTGAGCTCGTCAGCCGACACAACCCTGCCAACCTGGCCCCAGGCCATTATGCAGGTTTCGTGCAAGCGCGCGGTTTCCTTGTCGGAGAGCGACTTGAGGATGCCTAACACATTTGTTCTATTCCGTTTCAGGACATCCCTCTTAAAGCCAGGAACTGCGGGTTCTGCGATGAAAACCGAGAGGGCTCGCCCAGCAGCGATCCGAAGCTCCCTCACAGAGCTATGCAAGGACTGTAGACACCATTGTCCAGGACCAGACTTTTCCAGGTCCCAATACTCGGTTTCTGTCGAATGTTTTGCTATACGGCGGAGAGCCACCATGGCGAATACACGCGGTCTCTTCGATTCCAAGAAGCTGGGCAATTTGATGATTTTGCCGAAGAGGGTAATTCCAAGGACCTTAGGCTCTTCGTGTTGGCAACTTGGAGATGGAAAGTCAGGTTTCGTCGGTGAACAAAAGTCACACTGAAAACTAATAGCTCCTGTTTTCTCAGCCTTCCTGAGGTTCAATGTCTCATCAGCGGCACATGGAATGCGGGAGACGAGATCGAGCAGCTGGCATTGACCGTCTTCGCCCATCTCAGGGAAGCGTTCCCTATCTTAAATCAGCATGAGTCTCGTTAGGCAGTCACTGGGGAAAACAAACATGATGGGAGACTCCAAGCTTTCAACGGGACTTGAAGGGTTAGCATCTAGCAAGTAACATAGCCTGCTTGCGAGGTCAGGCAACTTGGACGGCTCGTCGTTCAGTTTCCTGCGTTTGGGCGCCGGTGCCAAGACCTGATCGGTTTTTTGCCGCGACAGCAGGCTCTCGACCTGTTTGCGTAACGCAATGTCCGTAAATTTGGCCGGGCGGACCTCATCGTTGAGTGCGAGCTTGGATGGGGTGGTCGTAGCTTGGTGCAGCAACTGAACAGCCCGCTATAAGATATATATATTAGTGGTGAACCAGTCAGCGGTGTGAAAGCATAGAACTTACCCATACATCGGTGCCGGCCCCGACGGTAGGGTTATCGGAGACAAGTCGTTGGGCGGTAGCGAGCAGTCTAGAAGCGATGATCCGAGAGGTAGGCTCGTGGTCGACAGAGACTTGCGCGAGGTGGACTAAAGCTAAACTGATTACAGATCTGAGATTCTCGCCATCCTTATCTTCCACAAGGAGTTGATGAGGATTCAAGAAAATATCCGTACAGGCCAGCGCCAGAGTAGCATTGACCTTGTGATAGAGCGCTGTCTCCATTCCATGTGAACTGGTATGGCCCTCAGCTAGACCGAGGGCAATCTGCAAAATAGTAACCTGGCAGCTTTCCAATGGTACCGGCCAGGTCGCCAAAAGCGAGCCCAACAGTTGAGTGGAGTCCAACAGCCAGACGAGGTTTTGGCTGTAGAGCAGAGACGCCTGGGGCTCGCTTTTGGATGCAATCACACTATTTATTATACCAACAAGACTGGTAGCATGTCGGATGGCGTGTTCAGGGTCTAGCAGAGCGAAGGAGCAACCCCGCGGAGGAGAACCGAGCAAAGCCTCTAACAACGACCCAGGGGGTAGCCTAACTTCAACTGACGTTTCTCGCGACGATAGCTCGGTCGATTTGAAACGGGCAAGGATAGCTAAGGGAGTTAGCGCGGGGAAGAGTGTAGACAAGAGGTGACAGCTTACCGCTCAAATTCACCTGGAAGTACTGCATCAAAGACGGGCCAAGGTCCCAAAGAGAGGCGTTCCGTGTTGCAAGAAGCAATATGTACTGACAGAGTCCCTCTATCTCGGCAGATATGGCAAGGCAACGGCGGTGGCCGAGCATGCGAAGCAGCTTGGGTAGAATCCACAGCCACAAGGGCTCCTCACCCCGGGATAGGAACGTCTTGCCATCTGTGGTGCTCTTTAGCACGGTCGGTGTCTCATCTATTGTGACCTTGAGGAAGTTGATGGCCTTCAATGCCTCGGTCCGCAGTCGCTCGGCATCGGCGAAGGCGTCGTCTAGCTTGAGGCTCTCGAGGAAAACGCCGCCGCAGACATAGACCAACAGATGGTTATGCTCAACACGCTCTTCGTGGGTCTTGACGGAACCGGGATCATTTTTCACTCTCTCGATAACGGCAGACAGGCGCTTAAGCTCGGTTGTCTCGTCCGGTCGAGAGGGTCGGGAGGAAGCTGAAACATTCTCGACGAGCTGTGCAGCGAGTGTCGACGGCGGCGGGCCTGCAGCACCTAGGGAATTAGCACCATCGTAACGGCTTAGTCTGGCCGCTTTGACGTGCGATTCGGAAGCCATTTGCTGTCACCCCATGGTTGGCGCAGCTGGTCGAAAGCAAATGGTGCTAGCATTCAGCCCAAGCGTGGAAGCTTGTGGTTTAGAAACAGACCAAAACGCGCCTTACGCGGGGTCGACATTTGGCTTGATGCACGTCAACACGTGATGCATGAGGACATAAATTTAGACATACCATTTTATGTAAGTAGGGTTTCCGCTCATTAGCGAATCACTAGCCACTGAATCGTGGCTTACAGGGGGCTTTTGTGGCTGTCTTGAGCGGAAACCCTACTTAAAGCGGTATCGAGGCATCTCCTATCTATATCAGACCCTAACCCTGTACCCTTTTATGTACCCCTTGTCCTCAAGCCCCTGAACAAAACCCTTTGAAAGCTCATGCCCACGACTTGGTTTGGGGATCACAATGCTGGCATGTCGCTATCGGGAAAAGGCCTGAGTATCGAGCCTGAGCATCCTTCCAATACGCCCTCTCACACCCTGTCCAATAGAAAGTACCTTAGTCGATACTCAACATAGTCTGGCTATACTTCTCAAGCTACCATATCATTATGTGCTGCTCAACAGCTTCTCAACGGCCCATTTGACTGAGAAATTCCTCAGGTCCGAATAATGTTGCCCGACACCGACAAACAACACCGGAACATTAGTAGCGTGTACAATACTGACTAACGTCCCGACCATATCCCCAACCGTGTCGCACTTTGAAATGATAAAACCATCCAACGACCGGCCGGATCCAAATGCAGCGTTGAAGTTCCTTGCCTGAGCTACCGAGTCGGTACCGACAAGAGCCTAGACCAGACAAAAAGTCAGCAATCTCACAACTTCTCCCCGGCGACGTGGACAACTTACCTCGCCAACCATCAGGATTTTATCGGGCTGGGCAAATTTGGCAAACTTCTCGAGCGACGACATGAGGCGCTGGTCGTTGTGCCTACGCCCTGCGGTGTCAATCAGCACCACGTCAAAGCCCTCCTGAGCGGCGTATGCGACGGCATCCTTGGCCACGGCGGCCGCGTCCTTCCCGTAACCCTTCTGGTAGAGCTCGACCTGGCCGCCCTCGCGCGCCGTAAGCTCCTTGAGGTTGCGTACGTGCACCGCCAGCTGCTCGACGGCGCCAGACCGGAAGGTGTCGCCGGCCGCGATGAGCACTTTGTATTGGTTCTGTAGTAGGAAGAAGCAAATCTTGGAGAGATTGGTCGATTTGCCCACGCCGTTGACGCCGACGATAGACATGACGTAGGGCCGGGCTTTGCGCAGCGACGTTGCCGGAGGAGAGGTGACAGAGTCAATCTCGCGAAGGAGGTCGAGGGACGAGGTGGGGGTTAGCATTTTCGTTAAAGAGGCCTCCATAGCTTTCTGTATCCTGGTGTTGATGCCTGCGTGGTTCGTGATTAGCTACGTGGTCATGGAGGGTATATATGGGGGAGGGGGAAAGGGGTACTCACTTTCAAAACTACCAGTTTTCACACCGATCAACTCCTTCTCAACACCCTCGCACAGCCGCACAGCAGCCTCACGCGCAACGTTCTTCTTGAGTAGGTGCTCCTCCATACCCTTCATAGCCTTCTCCAGATCCTGCTTGGTCAAGACCTTGCCACCAACAACGTTCCTAAACAGTCCACCAATCGCACTCAGACTCGATCCCACAATACCCGATGAAGACTCGGATTTTGCCGCAGCATTCTTCTTCGCGTCAGCATCTGCCAGAATAGAATGGACCTCGTCGCCTAGGTCCCTGAGCACGAATTTCCCCTTCGTCCTCGAACCCCAAGTCGAAGAGTCCACCTCCTCGACCGCCCCTGGCCTGCCGCCGGCTTCAGCTTCACTCTCGCTCGCCATATTTGAGACGGAGTAGTCGAGCCGGACATCTTCGCTCTCGTCCGCCAACCCATCTGCATCCCACTTCCTCCCACGCTTGACTGGCTTGGCTGGCTTCGCCTTCCGCCCTTGGCCCTCGTCGCCTGAAGAGGCTATCGACGGGTGACTAGTTTGGCCCTTCCTCGCTCGCCTTGACATTTTGGCTACTGGCCCCGCCTTGGCTGCCAGAATATGGGGAGCGTTTGGGGTAGACGGACGCGAGGCGTCGGGTGTCGCGACAGGGGTCGAATCGGCTGACGATTTGGTCTGCGGCTTTTCGGTAAGACTGGGCGGCAACGGTGGTTCATCTCCTATGCCTCTCAAGTGCACTTCGTCCCCAAACGCCCGCGCATCTGCCTTGCTGCCGGTCTGCTCCAGTTCGTGTAGTTGCTGGTCAAAGTACTCGTCGAATTTGATGCACTCGACAATCGTGGTGTTGGGCTTCGTGAGTTGGTCGCCATAGAGACTGACAAAGATGGCCTTGATGTTGTCGACAAGCTTATCGATCCAAGATAGGTGCAAGAGAGAGCGGTAGACTGCCTGTTGTAGTATGTCAGTAGGTGGCTCGATCCGTAGCTGCCGTGTAGAGGCCGGCGGAAGGGGGGCGCGCGGGGGTATATCTAGTGTAGTGTGGGTACTCACCACGAAGATGATGCCGAGTTCTTTTACAAACGTCCATCGTAGCGTGTGCTGGTCATGCTTGTACGGCGGGTTGTTGGCGGCAGACCCTCCGTCCTTCGTACCGGCGACAGCGCTCTTCTCCTCGATGAAAACATCGGCGATGAAGCTGTTGACCACGGACGGACTGACAGGTGCATAGGTCCTAGACCAAAGCACCACTCCCGACGTGGTCAGAATCTCGAACGTGTCCAGCATCCTGGGTTGCGAGGCGCTATCTGTGATTTCGCCTCAAAGTCTGCCTCTAGGAGTAAGTGTGCAACAGGTCCTTGAAGTTACAGCAAGTCAAAGCCAGGGGTCGGTGTGTCTTGGACTCGATTCGTGGTATCGATAAGGATCGCATTTGGTGATTGGTTTATGCTGTCTGAGGCACCCCACCGGAGATCTCCGGAGCCCTGTGCTGTGTGTGCAAGGGGAGGGTACAGTACAAAGCAGGAGGTACCCTCCTGAATGACAGCATGGGAATCTCCAAAAACACATGTCCAGATCCAACACCACCTTACACCGACAAAGTAGAAAGCAGCATTTCACGAACAAACCTGCTCCCCGTATAAACCACCTAGGTTGCAACACACCCTAAATACACGGCTGCCTCCCGCCGACAACTAGTTCATCCTCAGCGCAACGAGAGGGTCGACTTTCCCTCTCACCCAGCCTCGATTTTATTTTGAAGATTTGACATAGCCCTCCGCCTAGAAATGCAGCGACCAACAACCTACGGACGCTCTCCCCCATTACACCACCCGGTGCCGCAGCACGTCTCTACCGTCCCCCAGCTCAGATCGCCGCCGCCGCCGACAGCGCAACCGCAAGTCGGCTACGATGGCAGCCCTTACCAGCAACAACACCAGCCGCGCGCGCCGTCGAGCGGCAGCAACATGTTTGGCCAGTACGGCAACTTCATCAACGACCCGGCGGCGCAGCTGGCGTCGCAGTTTGGCCAGACGGCCTTTAAGCAAGGGCAGGAATACATTGAGCAAAACGTAAGTCTATGCATACTACGACAATTGGGCGTCGGTGCTTCTCTTGGCGAGCTCTCTAACTGTCTGGTCGCGCAGGTAAACCGCTTCGTCAACGTCTCGGCATTGAAGCACTACTTCAACGTGACCAATTCGTACGTAATAAACAAGCTCTTCCTGGTTTTGTTCCCCTGGCGGCACAAACCATGGACGCGGCGGCAGGCGACGGGCGGACCGGGGGGTCAGGAGGCGTGGTACCTGCCCCCGCGCGACGACATCAACAGCCCGGACATGTACATCCCCGTCATGTCGCTGGTGACGTACATCTTTTTGCAGGCGCTCATCTCGGGTCTGCGGGGTCAGTTCCAGCCGGAGCTGTTCGGGTACATTGCGACGACGGCGCTCGTGGTGGTCATTGTCGAGATCCTCGGCCTTCAGCTCGGCTGTTACCTGTTGAGCATCTCCAACGAGTCGCAGCTGCTTGACCTGGTCGCGTACTCGGGGTACAAGTTTGTGGGTGTCATCGTGACCATCAGCATCGCCCAGATTGTCAATGGTGGCAAGGGAACGAGCGGCTGGGTTGGTTGGACTCTGTTTATCTACACTTTTTTGGCAAACTCGCTCTTCTTGGTATGTCTATTCCCCTCAATGGTGTCCATGGGATTTATTCTGATCGCCGGTGTTTGCGCTAGATGCGGTCCCTCAAGTATGTTCTCCTGCCGGAGAATAACGGTGACAGCAGGGGCCCGATGCAGACGATGCATCCTCTCGACTCGCGGGCAAAGAGAAACCAACGGACGCAGTTCCTGTTTTTCTATTCATACATTGTGCAGCTGTTCTTCATGTGGATCCTCAGCCGATCGTAGGGAAGGGCTTGAGCTGTGTGTCGACGGCTGGCATGGTATGATCTTCAATCCCGGTTTGGTCGTGGGCTGGGAGGTGTGCAAACAAAACAGAGGAGCGAGCATTGGTCTTAGCCAAGGAATTTTAAATAGGTGTATAATGCTTCGATACTCAGAGGAGTGCTTGATTCGATTGGAGTGAGGCACAGTGGCAAGCGTGTGTATTAGATGAGATGTGGATAAGAATAAGATCCTGGCTCCATTGTTGGCTGGTCTATAGAGAGATCTACCAGAATCTCATTGCTGCTCTTTTGACCACGACTTGGAAATGGCCACGCTGGTTTCTTTGTTAATATATGTATAAATATCAGCATGAGTATACATTGCGAGGAGATAATTTCAGGTTCTGTAGTGTGAGTTCATCATTCAAACTGACCACTAGTAGCTTGGACAAGAACAGCATTGCATTGCAGTGGGTCTCGGGAGCTCATCAATTCCGTCAACACAAACTCAACATCACTACTTGGTAACCTTCAATCCCTACAATAAGTTTGAAGGACGACTCGAGAAAACTTGTTCCAATTTCAAGCAAAGTATAGGAGACTAGTACTGTGAACCTGGATCCAAGTTCTATTTCAAAGGAAATAGTCTCCTGCCCACCATGGCAACCCCTCCCATCGTCATCGCGACGGTGCAAACAGCCATCATCAATGCCCTCTCGGCCATCCTTGCCCAGATCATCAAGGCTCAACAAAACAATGTAAGACTCTCCTCGTCCTTACCTTCATATCCCAAACTCAAACAAAAAAAGCAACCCATAACCCTCAACCTAATCCCCGCCTTCCAATTCCTCCTCTTCGGGCTGGTCTCCACGCCGCCCAATTTCCTCTGGCAGGAATTCCTCGAGTCGACCTTCCCCGCGTACCACATGGCTCCCACCAAGGAGGCCCTGGCATCGGCCGCCGCGGGCAACGACAAGGAGCTCGACGACGAGGCCGCCGCGGGGAGGCTGGTCGAGCCCGTGCTCAGCAAGCGCAACACGCTCGCCAAGACCCTGCTGGACCAGACGGTCGGCGCCGTGCTCAACACGCTGCTGTACAGTTGTTTTATGCATGGTATCCAGATGGCCATGGCCCATCATGGCCAGCAGCATGGTGCTGCTGCTGCTGCTGCTAGCGGCGGGGCCGGGTTTGGAGGGCTTGGGCTGCTGTTGCAGAACCCCTGGGGTGCTGTGAGGTACGACACCGTGGACTGGGCGGTTGTCTGGGAGAAGGCCAAGGATGAGTTGTGGCCGATTTTGGTTGCGGGATGGAGGTTCTGGCCGCTCGTGAGTGTGGTGAATTATGTGTTTTTGACGAGTGTCACGTCGAGGACTTTGGTGGGGAGTTTGGCTGGGTTGGGCTGGGGGGTGTATCTCAGTTTGTCGTCGGCAAACTGATCAGAGGAAGATGGTTGAATGTATCCTCTGGATGATAGACGATTGTTTCATATGAGTACGTATCATGAAGAGACGACATGATAGTGGAACTGGCATATACATGGAACTTACTAATACCGGACCTCAAACCTGTTGCGATCCTACTAGTGTGATGCCCATCCCATATGTTTACTAACTCCCAGATGAGATCATAGCTTATTGCAGTGGTGATGTGCTGGCCTGAATTCTCCCACGACAGCAGTCTCGCTTCTACACACATGACCACTCGGTCTACAATGACACATACGTTCACCAGACCAGCGAAACGTAAGATTCCAAATGCACAGCAAAGAACGACACATGGTATATTGTACTCAACAAGCAAAACCACCCCCTCAGAGGACTCGTTCGTCGGCATTAGCGTCAGTATCCAGGAAACGAGCGGATCGAGCAAACAACCCAACCCATTCCCCTCCTCACATCTCTCATCCCATCGATCATCCATTTCCCCGGCTCTTTTGTGTTTCTCCGCCCCTCCACCAACCGCAAAGATAAATTCCTCGCCTATATACCACGAGATAGCACCAGAGAGCACACCAAACAAGCACAGCGCACTGAGAACGCCGTCGTTATCCATCCCGGGCTCGAAATAAGGGGGACCGTACACCAGAAATGGGCGTGTAAGAAAAGGAGAATGGAAATCAGAAGAGAAACCAACTAGTGGTGACACATGCTTGTTTGAATAGGGATAGAAACCGACAGGTAATGGTTTGATCAGCAAGACCGATACAGAAGATACACAAAATAATCGGCTCTAGAGCCACGGATGGGGAATAACCTAACAGATTGGAGCAAGAAGCGAAAGTTTTGAACAAGGTAAACAAGGGGGAAACCAGAAAAGGAGGGTATTACAGACCGAATCCTCCATCAGCCTTTTACCATCACACATCACTTTGCCCCGCCAGGGGAATCCGGGTGGCTATCATCCAACCTCTTTCTCCAATCAGCCAGGCTCTCGCTCAAGCCCGAGCTGACATTCTCGTCCTTTTTAGGCACAGGGCCCGTCTCAAAATCAAACGTGTTGCTCAGCCGGTAATTCTTGTTGGTCGCTTCCCAGTGGCTCCGGAGCGTCTCAAGCTCATTGGCCAAGTTATCCAGCGCCGTGGAGTTTCTGGCCTCGGTAATGCCCATATCCATGCCCATGCCGCCGCCCTCGCCGGCGCCGCCATACAAGCTTTCCACCTCACTCGACTCCTGCCGCATATGGCCATGTCCGTGGCCGCCGCCGTTCGTGCTCCTGGGCGCAGCAGCACCATCACCCACGCCCGATGGGATGTTTTCCGAATTGAAACTCGGCACCTGGCGGCTGCGGCGGCGATAATTATCCACGCTGAGCTCGACCTGGTCAAGAAGGGTGCTAACCTTCTGCTCGGCGTCCTGGGCGCGGCGTTCCAAAAGTATATTCTCCTGCTGCAGCTGGTCGAGATCCTTCTTTGAGCTCTCTAGCCGGCGGATGGCCTCTTCACTGGTTCGGATGGCCGCATCGCGGTCCTTTTGTGCCTCGACAAGCTCTTGCCGGATGCTCTGGACCTGCTGATCGAGCCTGGCTGCTGTGCCACGCAGGTCGGCCTGCAGCCTGTCGATCTCGGCCTGAAGGCTCCTCTGTTGGGTCTCCCAGTCCGCGGGCGGCGCGTCCTTGGCGGCTGTTTTCTCAGCATTCTCCAGCTTGTCCTCAAGTTCCACGAGTTGCTCTTTCAGCCGGCTGTTCTCCGTCTTGTACCGTGCTAGCTGTTCTTTGAGCTGCTTCAGCATCTTCTCGGTGCCCTTGACGTAATGAACGGCTGACTCGTAATCATTCTCGAGTTGGGCGAGCTTCTCGCGGTATGTAGACTCGGACTCTTGCGCCTTGTTAGCAGCCTGCGCTCTGGTTTCTTCGAGCTCGTTGCGCGCGGCAGTCAGCTGCTGCTCGAGCTCGCGCAGGCGCATCTGCTCTGGAGACCCTTCGCGAGGGCTGCTGCGGGGGCTGCTGCGCGAACGCGAAGCCGATGTCGGGGAAATGCCGCGCTCGCTGAGAATATTCTTCAGGGTGTTGTGCTGCACGAGCATGGCATTGGTCTCGAGCTGTTGCTTAGCTAGCTGCTGCTTGAGGTCAGAATTTGCGGCCTGTAGAGATTGCGTCTCTCTGAGAGCGTTCTGAAGTTGCCGGCGGATTGAGACGCCCTCGCGGCTGATCTGCTCTTGGTATGCCTCGAGCCCGGCGATTCGCTCTTCCGCGCCCCGTAACCTGTCTGCTGCGGTGTCCACTTCCTGCTGGTACTTTCTGACCAGGGCATTAGCCGTAGTCAGTTGTCCTTGTAGAGCAGAAATCCGCTCCTGCTCGCTCTTGTCTGGTTTCGCAGCATCCTTTGTCGAGATCTTGTCCAACCCAGCCAACACGGCCTGACGATGCAGCCGCGCTTCGTTAGCGTGTTGTTCCGCCAGCTCTTCAGCATCCCTCAGACGTTGTGTGGCCGCAACCAGTTCTGCTGTCCGCGCCTCGTGTTCAGTTTTGAGTTTATTCAGCTTGGACTCGACCTTTTCCCTAAGCGCCCGTTCCTCGTCCAGTTTCCGTTCCAGTATGGATTTGGTATCAGCAGACGCGACCAGTGCCTCACGAAGAGACTCGAAAGCTTCCGCATGCTCTTGTGAACTTCCGACGGCATCGTTGTACTTCTGCTCCAAATCGGCCTTTTCTACACGGAGCATCTGCGCTGCCGCTATAGCTTCAGCAGCAGCAACCGACTGTTCTCGGGCCTCCCGCTGAGCCATATGCAACTCAGCCTTGAGATGTTCGACTTCGGATGCGTTTTGTTGCTTGTAGTTCTCGAGATCCGCCATCCTCTTCTGGGCGGCGTTGGCCGTATCGTCTGCGAGTTTCCGAGCTTTCCTTTCCACTTCATACTCAGAACTGATGCGATCCAGCTGGTCCTGAAGTTCTTTCTGAGTATTGAGCGCATAAGCAAGCTTCCTACTCATTTCCTCAATACGGCCGTCCGGATCTTTATCGTTGTCGAGCTGTGGTGTGCTCATCGCGCTTCCGCCTCTTGCAGCCAGCTTAGCTTTGGCGTATACAGCCTCTTGAATGGCAATATCTCGTTGCTTTTCCGCCTCGGCGATTTGCTTGGCTGCCAGGACTGCTTGCTTATCAATAGATGCTTGGACATTGGCGAGTTCAGCTCGCATCGCCAGTAGCGCCTCGATGAGCGGCTTGTCATCATCGTCGAACGTCTCGGCGGCTCGGCCGTCGAGCAACGGACTCAACGAGGCATTGGGCACGTAACCGGCCTTCCGCGCCAGCTCCAGCTCGGAAGCATACCATGCATTGCGATTCCTTGCAGCATCGAGCTCTTTTAGCAGGGCAACGGTCTGAGAATTCCTAGCGGATGACCGCCTGGAGAGAGGGTTGCTGTTCTGTCTAGTCGGTGGCGGAGGAGAGGATGGCCGAGGCGTGACCTGTTTGAGAGGTGGCTCAGTCGAAATGTCGACAGAGCCTTGGCTCCGGCCTTGTTTCGTTGGCTTCAGCTTTGGTGCGTCGGTGGATTGCTCGGCCTGCCTAGACGACGACCGCGGAGGATTCTGCCCAGGTGCGGTGCCTCTCTCGTTCGCAGCGATGCTCTCGCCTTCCTTGAGAGCTGCAACCTGTTGTGAAGTGGGCGATGTTACCGGGGAACCGCGGGGCTGGTCGGACGGTTCGGTAGAAGGATTCCTCGCACGAGGAGGTGCTGCGCTAAGGCCTGGTTTTGGTGGCTGACCTTGTGGTGGCGGCCCGGCGGGTGGCGCTGGGCCTGTGGATCTCGGAAGCCTCGATGAGCTATTAGGAACACCGTTCGATGGGCCCATTTCGACACCATTTGGAGACCGGACTCCAGCCTGCCTCTTGGCATCTGGCGGACCAGTTGAGCCGTCGCGCGAAGGCATGTTCCGAGCAGTAGTGAGATCGCTGGGCCGTCTCGACTGAGTCCTCGGTGCGTTCGGGGTGGGCCCTGAATCGTTCGGATACCGGATCTTGGTCGTATCCAAGCAGTAGACAAGCGCCAGGTCATTAACCGCGGTAGCGGCAGAGCTCGGTTCTCCACCCACAACCACAATGGTCTTCCCAACCGTTGTCATACTGTGTCCTGATCTCGGCGATGGTGAGGGTCCCATGTTTTGAAACGTATACCAGCGGCGGGTGGTGATCCTGAATGCTGCCAAGTCGCCGAGGTCGGCGCCGTCTTCAGTGCGTCCTCCGAAAATGTACATGACATCGTCGACAAGCGCCGCCGCATGGCCTTCGCGAGGGGACGGAATGTAGCCTATACAATCCAACTGTGACCAAAGATTGGTCATGGGGTCGTAGGCCCAGACGTCGTTGAACCATTGGAAGCCGTTTGTGCCGCCAAACCTAGATAGTCTGAGCAATGGATACCGATGACCCTAGGCAGGGGATAACTTACAGATACAGTCTGTCACCGAAAGTCACCATCGAGTGGTTCGTTCTGGCGGGAGGAATCTTCCCCTGGGGCGGGCCTCCATTGTCGCTGCTGGGTATGAGCAACTCCCAACGGTTGTTGGGCATCTGGAGCTGGTTCAAGTCAAAGGCCGACAAGTCATTCATGAAGTATCCTTCCACCTGACCGCCAAAGATGTAGATTTTTGAACCCAAAATATTCAAGGAGTGCCCGTAGCGCCCAGTGGGCCGGGGTCCAGCAGGCAGAGTCCTCGACCATTGCCTCGTTGCTAAGGGGCGTCAGCGAAGCCGGCCAATAAGTAGTCATGCAATCAGGTTCTTGGTCTTACAAGTATTCAGCAGATAGAGAGTCTCGTCGAGAATATCGGTTTCCTCAATCTTGGTGTCACCGCCAAAAACTATGAAGGCATTCCCTACCAGCAGGCTGGCGTGGCCGACTCTCGGCCCTGGCCCCTCGGAAGTGGTCGCCAATGGGTAGCACGCCATGTTAGCACCGGCCTCAATCATCCACAAGTCGCCCTTCACCGTAGAGCTATTTATCAAGCCGCCCATGACGTAGATATCACCCTCCTTAGAGGACACGGAATTGACTGCGGCGCCGTATCGAGGAAATGGACTGGGGTGTGTCGAGGTGTATGTCAACCTCCGTTGCGACCAAGGATAGAGGGAAGCATTCGGACTTGGTGTCATTTGTGTAGGAGGGGCACCGCGAAACTGCGACAATCTACATGTCAGCCACGGGGTCCGACGACAGGAGCTCAATGATGGAGCGTCTGGGGAGGAGGAACGAACCGGCGGCTCGCCTGGTTGCCCCTGTGGCGGCTGCATCTGGGGCGGATTTTGTTGCTGTTGATCTAGGCTTTGACCTCGCTGGCGGGCGTAGGGTTGATCTGGACTGCCCATGCTGCCGTCATTCTCAAGAGAGTTCAGGCTTCCTGTTGGCGTCGATCGCGAGCCTTTCTCCTCCTTCACGCGCGCGGCCGCGCCCATCGCCGACCCCGACCCATCCCGGCTTGCAAGCGCCCTGTCCTGATTCTTCTTCGATTTGAAAAGAAACGCCATGGTGGACGGTGTAGTTTCGCGCTAAGCTCCAACCTCACCGGAGATCTCGAAAAGCGCCGCGGTGCGAAATGGTTTCGCTAGACCTCAGGGCCTAACGACCGCACGACTCTCAATTGACCCCGTAGGCGTCGGGCCCAAACTCGACCGGGCAGGAGCGGGTGGACAAGCCGTGCTCGAGGGTGGATATCCGGCTTGGCTTCGAGGCCGGAGATGTGCGGGTGTCGGGAATGGCGTTGATGCTGAGTTTGGAGATGGCAGGGAGAGCATCGGTCTCACGGTGGAGACGGCGCAGCGGTTCGGTTTGGGTGTTCAACCTCTTGTCTTTTTTTTTCGCTGCTCCCCGAGAGTGATACCCTGTCAGCACGTGGCGCAGACTTCCCTGCTAAGACCATGCAGCAGCTGAAAATAAATCGAGTAGTGAGCATTCATTCGCAACACTACTCCGTACACTGTTAAAGCAAATCCAAAAAACGTCCCGGCGAAGATATGAATGTTGCTAGTCTCCGGGCGCGGTCGCCGGCGCAATATACAGGGGTTAGATTCGAGAGGATAAAAATTCAATGCGACTTCCGAGTTAGGTTTGAGAACCCGTGAGAGGCACAGGTGGACAGACCTGGGCGCCAGGCGGCCGGGTTGTGTTGGGGCAGGTATGTACTGGGCAGTGTGCATACAGATACCACCTAACGCTAACAAGCAATACGAATAGTGAGGAGAGTTACTATAGTACGGGGGAAAGTACGAAGTAGGTATACACATCAAGAAGGCACGCAGGTAGGAACCTCCATGCCCGGAAGTTAAGATAGGTTAAACGCAGCGCAACCGAGCACCACAGAACACACAGAAGTGACAGAACACCATCACTCTTTCTCTGGTCTCCGTCACACTGATGAAGGGCGACCAATTGCAGACGGCCATTGTGTCTCCAGCTGCTGCCTGTGGCTTGCAAAAGGGGCAGAAATGGGCGGTTCAGGGGCTGCCGCTCTTCCGATCTGGGCGCCCTGCCCCAGCCTAACGTGAACTACAGCGTCTCGCGTTCCCGGGCTGAGCTCAGCACATTCAGCACACTGGCCGGCAAAGCAGAAGCGGAAGTGGCTGATGAGGAATCGCGTTTTTCACTGATATCCCATCCTACGAAGCCATTGATGAAGCAAATATCTTCTCAGCTGCACTTTTGACGGCTCCACAAGTATGGAGTTCAGGAGAGCGACCAGCACCGTCCGTCGACAAGTTCTGCATTTCTGGCCTTAGCAACCTAGATGGTGAGCGTCTCATCAGATGAGTGGCAACTTAATTACAAGCACGTAGTCTGACTACTGGGCCGAGTGACGAGCACATTACAAGGCGCAGATCGCAGAAAATCTTGTTCTGCAGTGCGACCAGCTGACAAGTGGAAGGGCCGGTGACGCCGGCTTTGTCCGAGCAAAGCTCCGGACCTCACATTGCGGACCGATACTTCAAGGCGGGCTCCGGTACTTCGTATGTCTGGCTAGACTACGGATACACCAGAAGATGTTGATTTTATAATGGGTCATTTGGTTCCAGCTTTGGGCGTTGAGGCGTGAATGAAGATACTGTACTCCGAGACTCCGTACCTGATGACTGTACGGAGTGTTCAGTGTACGGAGGTAGAAGTGCTCCTGCTGTTAAGGTTGCTGGTCTGGCAAATGAGCATCAACGGGGAACCGCAGCCAGGGTGGCATCGTCGCTTCTGGACCCCGGCTGATTGTTTCATGTTTCTTCCTGACGCAACACACCAAGGCCAAATTTGTATGGGCACGGGCCACCTCACTCTGCGCCCCGCATTCCTGATATGGATCTCTTCGCCAGGTTACCGGATTTGAAGATTGAAGAAATGGCATACAAAGTACGGAGTACATACGATAACGAGCCAACGCTTCATTCTCGTCCAATACTGCGATACCTCAATGTAATGGAGCAGTATACCTTCTACTATACCTTTATCTCTAGTGTAATTACCTAAGTCCTTACATCATCAAATAGATGCTCTCTTTTAGTTCGGTTCAAAGTCGCTTTCTACACTGAAATGCCCAGTCCGGAATACAATGGATACAGTACCTTCATCAAAGGCAGCGAATCTAGGCACCTGGAGTGCATGCCGGACGACAGAGATTGATCGGCTGCCGACGCAACCTCGTCTTACACAGCATGCGTTACAGCGCTCTCCATCTGCCCGGTTGGGCACTCTCGAGTCTCCTTTAGTAAACAGCGCTCCGCTCAAAGCATAGGCGAGACAGCGAAGAGAACATGGTATTAGGATGATTATGCGTACCATCTACAAAAAAAAAAAAAAAATAACCGTACCTGGCGAGCTGACCTACAAAGCCTGGAAGGGACCTTACTGTGTAAGCTAGGTAGGTAAGATAGGCAACTTAGCTCAAAACTCTCACCCGACTGTAAACACAAGTTCTCCTGGAATTTCAGGTTAGCAAAGGAACCAATTACGGGTGGAACATTCAAATAAATGATGTGTTCTGTGTGTTGTATCGCTGTGGCTTGTTCTTGTATCCGTAACTACCTTTGGAGAGCCTTCCCCGCCAACGATCACGTGCGCCTCTGTCACCTGACAAGGTACGCGCTGGCCCGCAACTTTCGACGAGGCTGTTAGGCGCCTGCAGGCCCTGCAGCTCTGCACCGTTCGCCGCCGGGCTCCACACCGCCTTTGCTAATGGCAGGGCCGGAAGGCGATCGCCTGCCTTCTCGACGTCAACGCCCTGAGACCAGCCCGCCTGTCTCAGGTCAACTTTGTGCATTTCTAATCTGCGATCCATTGTTTTGCCTCCACATCGAGAAACTGCAAAGCCCCTCGCTTCTCCAAGGGACCTTGCACCAAATATTGGCGCATTTTCGGCAGCTCTTTGATGCCTAGATCACCTACCCAGAGAACCCGCCGTAATTCGTGCTGACGTCGTCGCGGTGACTTGCAAACCGACAGTCATCGTGTTATTTCGCGAATCGACTTGTTCTTGTCTTAACCCAAGGGGCTTAAGTGTCCAACAAATTCACGGTCGCCGCGCCGACCGCAAAAATCGGAACGAAGGATAATAGACACATCGCTCTAGACCATGGTTGTCCGCCAACCCTAGCCCACCATGACGGCGCTTTCTCTCCAAGCTCCGCCGCAGCCGGCCCAGCTCGGTCGTCACCAGAATGGTGCCCAGTTGTCGAGGGGCACCACGGCCCCGATGGGTTCCTCTCCTGCGCGAAATCCCGGCGCCTTTTCTCGGCAAACCGTTCGCGCCATGTCACACCTGCATGCCCAGTATGCCGAGGCCTCGGCTCCGCGCACTGGAAATAATGCCGGTATCCGCTCCGTGTCGCCGGGACAGGCACCCTTGGGACAAGGGATGCCAATCGTCAATGGCAGGCGACGAACCGCATCACCCGGTCCGGTTTCACGACGACCCTCGAGCGCGCCCGGAGAGCAACAAGGCGGCCCGTCGACCTCTCGCGGCGAAGATAGAGATACCGACGACGATGACCATGCCGTCATAGCAAGACCAGCCAAGCCGCTGCTGCTCCGATCTAAAAGTGAACACGGCATCCGCCCCGACGAGGCAACTTTGGCCGACGACGAAAACTACGAGTGGGGTGCGAGGCATGGTTTTGAGGATCACTACCAATCCGAAGACATCATCTCCCAGCTTGCCAATGTAAGTTCTTATATTATACTCGGTGGTCATTTGCGTGCACACTACTTCTCTCAAACGTTTCTTGGTTTGGCTAGTGCCTCCACACGCCCGCAAGGACTGTGATCTAGGGTCAGTTAGATCGAATCTCTTGGGCTGTTCGGTTGCTCCCTTTGGCCGGTCAGCAGGAAATATGGATTACTTTCCTGTCTTTGTCGGGATCCCGGCCATATGGGGAGAAGCGGCAACTGTGTTGGAACATCGCCGAGACAAAGTTTGCTAATCTCTTCTAGAACTGGTACATGTATTTCACCGACAAGCGGCATGAATCCACCGGGAAGCCCAAGACCCCAGCCTTCGAGATACAGGACTGGCGGATGCGAGACCGGCTCAAGACCGTTTCGGCCGCCATCGCAGTGTGCTTGAACATCGGTGTTGAGCCGCCCGACCAGCTTAGGACGACCCCTGGGGCCAAACTGGAAGCCTGGCAAGACCCGACCATTCCCCCAACTGGAAAAGCCCTCGAGAATATCGGCAAGGCACTGCAAGCGCAATACGAGACCCTGGCTCTCCGAACCCGCTGCAAGCAGTACCTCGACCCTTCCATCGAGGAGACGAAGAAATTTAGTATATCTCTTCGCCGAAATGCCAAGGATGAGCGCGTCCTTTTTCATTACAACGGTCACGGGGTCCCGAAGCCAACGTCTTCCGGAGAAATCTGGGTGTTTAATAAAAATTACACCCAGTACATCCCGGTTGCCTTGTACGATCTTCAGCAATGGCTTCAAGCACCCACGATATTTGTCTGGGACTGCTCTGAGGCTGGGAATATTATAAAGAACTACCACAGATTTGTCGAGAAGCATGAGCAGGAGGAGCAGGAGCAGGCGGCCAGGGACCCAAACTACGAAAAGATGAACTTCCAGCCATACATCCATCTAGCCGCCTGCGACACCAAGGAGAACCTTCCAACAAACCCTCTTCTCCCGGCTGATCTTTTCACTTGCTGCTTGACCACGCCCATCGAGATGGCCCTGTGGTTTTTCGTCCTGCAGAACCCTCTCAAAACTGATCTTACACCTGAGAGGGCCAAGAAACTCCCCGGCAGACTACAGGAACGTAGGACTCCTCTGGGAGAGCTGAATTGGATCTTCACTGCTATCACGGACACTATCGCATGGACAACTCTGCCTCGGCACCTGTTCCGCAAGTTTTTCCGGCAGGATTTGATGGGTAGGCTGTTTCCTGATTTTATTCCCCGATCAGTCTTGTATTCTTTACTGACTGTCTATTTCCAGTCGCTGCGCTGTTCCGCAACTTCTTGCTCGCACAGCGAATCATGCCCGTCTACGGATGCCACCCACAGTCTTTTCCTGAGCTGCCTGATACCCGCAAGCATCCTCTCTGGGACAGTTGGGACCATGCTGTCGACATGGCATTGGCCCAACTACCTATGCTGGAGAGGAAAGAGGCTGAGAATATCCCGTACGAGTACGTCAACTCGACGTTTTTTACCGAGCAGCTTACCGCGTTCGAGATATACTTGACGAGGGGAGACGCAATTTCCCAGAAACCCCCAGAGCAGCTCCCCGTGGTGCTTCAGGTCCTCCTTAGTCAGCAGCATCGCCTCAGGGCCCTAATCCTGCTGGGCAGATTCCTTGATCTCGGCCCTTGGGCCGTGCAGCTCGCCTTGAGCATCGGCATATTTCCCTACGTTTTGAAGCTGCTGCAATCCGCCGCCCAAGAGCTCAAGCCGGTCATGGTCTTTATCTGGACCCGTGTCCTGGCCGTTGATATCTCGTGCCAGCAGGACCTAATCAAAGACAATGGCTACACGTACTTCGCGGCCATAATGAAACCGCAGGAAACCTTCCCGGTGGTCAGCATGACAGTAATGGATGAGCACAAGGCCATGTGTGCCTTTATCCTAGCCATGCTGTGCAAGGGTTTCAAGCCCGGCCAGATTGTCTGCAACTCAACCGACATAATGACGTACTGTCTCCAACACATCACGCATCCTGAGAACCCTCTCCTCCGGCAATGGTCGTGCCTTTGCATCAGCCAGTTGTGGAGGGATCTCCCTGAAGCAAAGTGGAGGGGCATCCGGGAAAACGCCCACCTCAAGCTTGCTCTTCTCATCAGGGATCAGTGTCCCGAGGTCCGCACTGCCATGGCCCACGCCATGACCACCTTTCTCGGCATTCCAGACCTGACAGATGAGGTTGCGAGGTTGGAAGAGGGGATTGCTTGGGCCATGCTTGAGTTGGTCAACGACGCCAGCCCCATCGTCCGGAAAGAACTCCTCGTCTTCTTCTCACATTTTGTGCTCCGTTACGAGGGCAAATTCCTGGTTGCCGCCTATGAGCAGCTCTTAGAAGAGAAAGAGTACCTGCTCTTTCCGCCGCCAGAGGACGGAATGGACCACAAAATGGGGCTGCATTATGCCCGGCTCGAGAACCGTGAGAGAGATGGCACCATCAAGCGCACCGTATTTGGGGTGGCGCATGATTCTGTTTTCGCGGCATGCTGGAAGCATATCAACATTTTGAGCGTCGATCCCCACCCTGAGGTTCAAAGAGATGCCACAATCATCCTGGATTACGTTCATCACGCGCTCTTGCACTCGCCTGTCGGCGCACAGGCACAGACTCTGATGGATGAGATACTCAGGCGTGATAGGAAAGCGCCGAAGGGCGACATGAGCCAAAGGGCGAGCGCGACTGGCACGCGCACTGCGGTCGCACAGCCGATGCCGTCGCCTGGGCTCTTCAAGCGAACTGCCAGCTACCTGTTTGGGCCCCTGATGGGAACGCTGGACGGGTCATCCAGCACCCCTACTACCCCACCTCCCACTCCAGGGTTGCAAAGATCTCATTCTCAGCGGAGCCGTAAAGGGCCCAGCCATGAGAACGCCCCTCCGGAGCAGCGGGATCAAGCCGCATCACCAGCAAACTATCATGTTGCGAATGAACCGACGTGTGCCGGTTACGAAGAGCGCAAGCCCGGCGAGCTGCCCAGCCTTCCCCTCGTAAGCACGTTTCTGGATTGGTCATCTGAGTACTTCCGAGAGCCGCAAATGAAGTCACCCGAGGCCGAGGAGCCCGGAAGCCAGGATTACAACGAACGGCTCTGGCGCCGGTCCCGCAACGAGGCTGTTCTTAGGGAGACGCAGCCTCAAAAGACTCACGCTAGGACACACAAGTGGAATAACCAGATCAGCGTCATCAGCAACGGTTCCCAGCCGGCAAAGATGACATTCCACCAGTTTGAGAATCACGTTGCTGTCGCCGATGACGGAAACACGGTCACCATCTGGGACTGGAAGGCCAACAGCCGCTTGAGTCGCTTCTCAAATGGTAACCCAGAAGGCTCCAAGATTTCCGACATGCGATTCATCAACGAAGACGATCAGGCCCTTTTGATGACTGGATCCTCTGACGGTGTAATCCGCGTTTACCACAAGTACGACAGCGATGAAGGCATCCAGCTCGCTTCATCATGGCGGGCCCTGACCCACATGGTGCCCTCCAACGTAAACTCGGGCATGGTCTTTGAGTGGCAACAGGTGAACGGCCAGGTCCTGGTCGCCGGCGACGAGCGTGTCATCCGCATTTGGAATGCCGGCCACGAGATGTGCACGCATGAGATTCCGGCCCGGTCCGGTTCGTGCGTCACGTCATTGACATCGGACCAAATGACGGGCAATATCTTTGTTGCCGGCTTTGGCGACGGTGCTATCCGTGTCTTCGACACGCGCATGAGGCCGCAGGAAACCATGGTGCGCAAATGGAAGGATGACAGCAGGCAGTGGGTGCGCTCGGTGCACATGCAGCGCGGCGGGCAGAGGGAGCTCCTGTCGGCGAGCCGCAATGGCAAGGTGCACCTGTGGGATATCCGCATGGAACAGCCGTTGAAGACCTTCCAGACGACAAAGGACGTGCTGAGGACGGCAAGCACGCATGAGCACTTGCCTGTGTTTGCAGTGTAAGTGGCTCCTTTCTCTTCAGACACGCCCTTGCGAGATAGGAAAAAGCTAACTTGTATGATTTCATTAGCGGCACCTCTGCGCATCTGGTCAAGGTCTTTGATTTTGACGGGCACGAGCTCTCGCGTTTGGAGCCTTATTCCAGCTTTTTGCAGGGCCACAAGGGCACTCCCATCGCGGCCACGGCTTTCCACCCACACCGCATGGTCCTGGGGTGTGCTGCGCGGGGCGATAACTATATCAGCCTCTTTGCTTGTGGCAACGAGAAGGTTGGGCCGTTCTTTTAATTGCATCCCTTTCCTGCTCTGAAGGTTTCTATCCTGATTTCTGGCGTCTGGTCTCGGCATTGCATTTGGGGCAGCGGGATACCTTTGGCGTTTCGGGGTATAATGGTAATGGAAGGCATTGCACCTGCGCCGAGTGTAACGGAGGCATATCTGGTTTTCCTACTTCGCTTGGTGGCATGGGCCTCTTACGGGCATATCGGTATAGTCTATGCTAATATAATAGTGACAATGGTCGTTCCCCCTTTCCGATGCTATAATCATTGTATAATGCTACAGGCTCCTGGGATTGGTATCAAGTCGTTAGGTGACATCGACATGGAGAAGTGTAGCTGTGTTATACGCTGATTGTCTAGCGATCTTTTAGATATGGTCTAATGCCAGCGTCAAATACATAGGTTGGTACACTAGCGGGAGCTTGTGGCGCTTTGTCCAATATCCCAAATGATTTGGGACGAGATCGTAGGGAAATCAGGCATGTCGATGTCGAAATCCTGCTCCGCTCACTCAGTTCTGGTTCAAGTGGCCAACGCAGGCCGGATCTTTGTTTCATAGCTCGCCTGATGGAGGGTAACCAGTAGGGCTTAACCTCTCAGACGCTCTACTGGCCAGGGCTTGATTCCTGTTCCTTCACTTCCTGACCATCCTGTTCGGCACACATTGAGCTGTGTCTGTCCCCCATGGTGACAGTGGAAGGGTTCCGCCCGATCTTGTTTTCAAGACGGTCCGTTCCCTCAGCCAGTTATCTGACTGGTCAGCGGACAGCAGCGGCCCCATAACCGAGTCCGTTACCTCATGCGGCTGCTCCGGCCGAATGAGTCACGCCGCTGCCCCTATCCCTCTCTTCCTCTCTCTTCAGTCCCAATCATCATCGTCATCTTCGCGTTTGGCCCTGTCGGAACTGCTCTTGATCCCTCCTCTACTGGTATTCCCTTCCTCTTCTGCTTCCTCCGCGTCCCTCCTCCGCTTGAGCACCCGCATATCGTTCTCCTTTACCGCGCCCACCTCGACCAGTAGGTTATCGATATCTAGCATACTCGTCTTGACCCCGTGCATGGTCGCGAGGGTGACGATTTGCTTAACAATATCCCCCTTGTTGTAGACCAGGATTGTGGGGCAGTTGCGCTCCGGGTAGCCCTCAATAGCCTTGTCGGCGCGCATCTCGCAAAACTTGACGTCGCCGTACTCCTGGGCGGCCTGGCGCCACAGCTGGGACAGCACGCGCGACTCGACGTTGCTGCCCTGCGCCGAGGTCAGGTTGACGAGCACGGGCCCCTGTTGCGAGGCTTCCGTCACCTCGCGCGAGTACTCCGGCTTGCTGATGGGGTAGACGGAGCCGTGGACCGATTTCTTTTGCAGGGCCGACAGCTCCCGCAGCCGTTGCTGCCGGTACTGCTCCAGGAACGCCTCATCCTCCTCGTCTTCCAGGTCGGACAGGTCCGAGAGGTCTTTGCCTTCTAGCCTGTTCTCGTGCGCCAGCCGCCGCGCTTCAAGGATGGCTTCCTCGATCAGGGGTGTCGGGGAGGGAGGCTTTTCGGGGATGATGCCGTGCTTGCGAAGGATGTCGTTCCTGCGTAGTCGGTCGTCAGTATGTGTAGTGGCAGTGGTGCGCTAAGCACGTCGAAAGCCTGCCTGACCATTCTGTGTCGGCATTAGGGTCGTCGACGGGAACCGCGATCCGCTGGTCTTTTGGTGCTGCCATTCTCTTTCTCTTCTAGGCTGAGACAAAGAGAATATAGGTGACTCTCTGCTCGCTTGCTCGGAACGATTCGAAGATGTTAGCTTTACTGCTGGTTACTGTGGAAATTACTCTGTCGAATACCGAAACCAGCAGTTTCGTGCCGAGTTAATTTGGCCCAGCGAATCTCTGCTGCCTGATGGTTGTCGTCGAAGCACGTTTGCGAAGATGCGGATACGTACCTCACGGCCCCACCTCGAAAGCGTAACCCCGCCATCGTGGTAGGTCTTGGTCATCGCCGGAACCTGGCCCCGCTTTGACCCCAGTGCCACCCACCGTTGATTGGCCACACGACCGAGCCCTAACTGACAATGTCGCAGGCTAACTAATTTTGCCATTTGCTCCTCACAGACCGAAATTTCGCCCTCGAGCCTTCGTTCCTGCTGGGTCGCTTGAAAATCCCCTCCGCAACCATCCACGAGCCAACGAGTCTGCCGCCAAATCCATCCAGATTTCATCAATCAAGCACCGCTCGTCCTCTCGACGCACACGATAGTCAGTCAAGATGGTAAGACACACGAATTTCCTCGATTTTTGAGCGATTCTGCCCGTACCGATGTCCATTTGGGGTCACGAGGTTTGCGACGATACCGCGCCGGTGGAGGGATGGATGTCGAATTGGGCATCAGGCTTTGACAGCGGCTTCAAACACGGGCGGAACATTTGGATATTATTTGGGCGAAATGGAAACCAGATACGGGGAGACAAAAACTGATGTTATGACGAGGTGCTGACGGTCGATTCTCAAGGTTCTCGCCGTTGATCTGCTCAACCCCAGCCCGGCCGCCGAGGCCCGCAAGCACAAGCTCAAGGTATGCGATCTCGAACACCAGACTCGACAGATATCGAGTAAATCACTCATCCTCGATGGTTCTAACATTCTATGTAGACCCTTGTGCCTGCTCCCCGCTCCTTTTTCATGGACGTCAAGTGCCCCGGCTGCTTCACCATCACCACCGTCTTCTCCCACGCCCAGACCGTCGTCATCTGCCAGGGCTGCACGACGGTCCTCTGCCAGCCAACGGGCGGCAAGGCCAGACTTACCGAGGGCTGCTCATTCCGGAGGAAGTAAACGGTCTGGTTGCGGCTGTTTTCTTTCTTTGGGCATAATGGCATGGTAATGGGATCATCTCGGTATCTGCAAGGCTGTTTTGAGTGGGGCGTCTAGACTCATTACTCTCGATTGTCAAATCAATCTCATTTGCGGATAGAAGATGGATTCGCCAAAAATCACCTCGCTCAGCAAAATGGGAGGGCGTTTGGGGTCCGGATATCTTGCATTATCGACTCATTCCGACTTTCTCTCGATCTGCGTTTTTATCGAAGCCGTCTCGCGTCTTCTACTGTACAGGCAGGTCATACTGCATGGGAGGATCACCGGCATAGGCATTTTCACCAGCGTTTAGACAATGTCCGTCATGGGCGGGTGGCGGACCGCTGAACGCGAGGACGTGGATCGCCGAGGATCGCCAGACCTCGGTGCAGTGGGCAGAAAATGGAGGATCGCTCTTGCTTTGCGACGAAATTGACGATATTCCATGACATAAGATCTGAGTTCAAGCTGCCGTGGGTGATTGTCAGTGTACGCCTTCAAGAGTGGACTGTTAATAATGGCCTAACATCCTCCATGAAGCTTTAGCATGAAGCTTTGGATTGAGCATCCCTCAGTCGTAAGACAGCTCCCCATTAATGTCCTTGTCAGATTCTATGCATCTCCTTGGTCCACGCCGCCCATAGCGATGCAATTAAGCCTTTAAAGCTACGGGAAGTCTCGTAAGAGGATTGTATTTTTGGATTTGTTTCATCAAAGCCCAGGCTAACTCACGGCTACATCCATCCATATTTGGTCAATTCTACGTACGACAACTTATGCTGTCATTTCCGACAAACTCGAAGGATGATTGTTTCATGCAACATGCGTCCAGTCTATGTATGACGCTCAATCTACCGAGCTGTTGGTACTTGATTGTACACAGTAGAACATCCGCATCACCTACTTTGTCTTCGGGTACTAGGGAGGGTCTCACGACCGATATGACCAAATTGAGGGTTCTATAAGTCAACAAATTCAGTACAACGTAGAAGAGCTGTTTTTCCTAGCACTTCGAACGGTTGTTGCTTGCAAAGAATGAATTTCCTACTCGACTTGAGGCCACTTGAGTACATCGGGGGCCTTGTGCTGCTCAGCCTCGTTCCGCATCGATCCAGCCAATCCCCAGCCACCTAACTCAACTAAACGCGTCAAAACACGCTCTTGTCGCGACGTGACACGCTTGCCCAGCCCCCAACGCAACCCCCATTCCCGGTAACTTAGCCTGCTGCCGCTTTGATACCCCTGTGCTCTTTGTCCTTCTCTAATTCCACCATTCCCATCAACATCTCCCGCATTAGAAACCTCAACCAACACAATTACCACGGAACTGCACCAACAATCCCCAATAGACAAACGCCCTACAAGATCCGATACCAAATGACTGGTCCTCGTACAAAGCGGCAATTCGCCGGCGCAGCCAGCGATCCTGCGCAACGCCAAATCACATCATTCTTCCCCAAGACAGCTTCCTCCACCAACTTGTCTGCGACTTCGGCACCCTCAAGACAATCCAACCACAATGTCCCTGCGCTCCCCGCGCAAATCCAAACCGACCTCTTGAATGTCGGCATGCGAGTCCGCAAGGCGGTTCCAGAAGGCTACAAGACGGGCAGCTCTTACTGCGCTTTCCAGCTCTGGGCTGAACAGGACAATACATCCTCCGCGCCCACAACTACCACAACAACCACAGCACCGAGTGCTAAATATGCTTCCACGATACGGGAGCTTGAACCCTTCTGCGGGATTCACAAAGTAGGCGGGCTGGGCTTCCAAACGCTGCACGCCGTCCGAGACGAAAACCACGATGACGACGACAGCGAGGAGGCCGATGAACTGATGTCCATGCCTGGCCTTACCAGCACCCAAGAATCGGCCATCAGCACAACAAGCAGCATCGCCCCGGCCGCCACCACCACCTTACCGCTGCACATCATGGCGCCTGCGCTCAACAACAACAACAACCGCAAGCGCTTCTTCGCCTCTGACGAGGACGACGAGCGCGCGGGGATGCTGCTCCACCCTCACCAGCACGTCGGGCCGTTCCGGCTGAACAACCACGACGACGCCTGGCTGGACGGGGAGATCTCCCCCTGCAGCCTGGCCCCCGCGGGCTGGGAAAATGCGAGAGTGCTGGCGGTGCCAAAGACGCGGCAGAGCAAGCCTGGGCGGAAGTCTGGCGGCGCCGTTGCGGCAGCTGCTGCCGAATTGGTCGGGCAGGAGAATGTCATGGTTGTGACTGGCGGGGCGGACGGGAACGATTTCGAGGAGGCGAGTTTCCTCGATTACCGTCTCGCTGTGGATATGGATGTTGAGTAAGGCATTCGCGTAGAGAGAGTTTGGAGATGCGTATGGACAGTTTTGGAAGGGTGGGCGGAGCGATGATGGGCTGGTTCAGTGGTTTTATTGCACACGGCATTTTCTGATGCGGCGTTCATGGCTATGGTCTGTTTGGGCGTTGTGGAGACGATGCATTATACCATGGGTCTTAGGGCGAGTTGCTGATGATAGTATACCTCAAGCGGTAACATGGTCTTGCTGTGAGAAGTCCATTGTCTCAGCGAAGAGAAACCAAGGAAAGGACAAACACTCCTACACACTCTATGACATTGCGCTGCGGTAATAGACACAGTTTCCGTTAGCACGCTAACGACACAAGAAATGGACAGTAGAGTATAATTATCTTGCGGAAAAGGCATTATCAATCTATAAACCATTCCCGGAAGCTCGGATGTGCTATCTGTCGCTTTGTTACAGCATGGGGAAAGGATCCCGGAACTCCAGCAGGTCCCTTTGCCCGTAAAACTCACCAGCGACTGTCAATATCATGTTGAGAGTGGCTCGCATGTTGATCCGCGCCCTTGTCTCATCAAACACAGCGCTCTCGTCGCCATTTTCCAATCCGTTGCGGTCAGTATCATTTGTCTCGACACCTGCTGCAGAATCGTCTTGTTCTGCATCTGTAGGATCATCGAGACGTGCCAGGAGCCGTGCTTTGGCCGCTGCAATCTCAGCCTGCATATCTTGATTGCCCTCGGCCGCGGCTGGCTCATCGTGAATCTCCCCGTCATCGGTACTCATGTCCATCTCAACCTCGTCACCTTGATCGCTGGCAGGAGGGTCAGCGAGACGAGCAGGGGTTTCAACAACCGGCGGCTGAGGTTCACTGTTGTTAACCGTCGTCAAGCCTGATTTGGAAATTTCGGCCCCAGCACTCTCCTCATCGTCATCATCAACCACCAAGTCCGCAATGTACTGTGCTTCCTCCTCTTCATCCTCACCGTCATCATGCAAGGATTCACCACCATCCAACTCGTCCCCAACCTCCTCCCTCAACGCCGCCATCTGCGCGATGCTCATCATCATGAGCACGGCCCTCTTGCCCAGCTCGCGCACCCAGGCCACCTCGCGGTAGTCCATCTGACCGCTGTCGGGCAGGCGGGCGAGCAGCGCCCAGATCCAGCGGCTGGTGCGCTCGCGCAGCTCGTAGCCCCGCCGGATGAACTTGCCACCGAGTATGACGCGCACAAGCTTGAGCACGCTCTGCCGGTCCAGCGCCGCCACCTGCGCAGGCAGCGGGTCCGTGTGCCGGATGCGCCGCGTCCACACCCGGAACGTCGGCGAGTGCGCCCCAAATGATCCCACGTAGGTGCCGTGCTCCTTGGGTAGCGAGGCGACCAGTTCCGGCGGCGGGGTTTGGTGGAGCAGAGAGCGCAGGGTGAGGAACTGCGCGGTGAGCGAGTCGAAGTAGGCTTTTCGCAGCGCCGCGGCGTTGCGCGCGATGACGTCCGGATCTGCTGCTGCATCGGAATTAGTGCTGGAGGTGTGGTGGTGGTATTCGCCTGGTTCGAAGGGCGACGAGGGAGTGGAGAGGTCGGGATCGGGCGCGGCGGTGTACGCGCCGTCATGGTAGTACCCACGCGAGTCGCCTACACCGTTGTCGTAGAGGCTTCTGTCTACGCCATCTTCGGCGTTTTGGAGATGGGGAGGGAGCAGCGGCCCGGCTCGCGGCGCAACTAGCACAGTTGGGACGCTGCTTGCTTCTTGTCTGTGAAATACTTACCCATTAGCTTACCCTAATCTCGGTCATCCTAATTTCGCCTCGGCTGGGGAATGGAACGTGTGTTTTAGCAGTTGTTGGGATGATGTAGCGAAGAAGGGAGAGAAAGGAGGGCAGGCTTACCGAACGGATCTGAGATATGCAATGGCATCTGCATCTTCCTCAAACTCCAAATCATCGTCGGTCAGTTGTGCGGGCTCGCGGTCATTGAGGCCAGGGAACGCGGCTCGCTGGCCGTACGTGGGATCGCGTTTATTTTCAGCATGTTTTGATGATTTCTGACTCTGCTGACGGCGCTGTCGTTTGCTAGACGGCTGAGACGGGTCGTCATTATCCGAGATATAGTCGCGCTTCGACGCCATTCTCGATGGCTACACAATGAAATATCTCGAAGCGGAAAGCTGTCCAGGTTCGAGGTTTGGGAGATTCCACTTCAACTTTGGGATTACAGTTGGATGGCCCGTTGTAGCCTGCAATACCTTGTAGGTAAACCTCCTGTATGACGATATCTGACATAACAAACTCGGATATAACGATCATTAGTGTAGCTCATGTATATCTGTGAAGGAACGCGTTAGCCCCTGTCCATGGGAGCTGCTTTGCAACACTTACATGTCTTTATATCGTTACCTATTGAACCCCTTGGCTGAAGCAATCCTCAAGACGCTGTAGATGTAGCCCATAGAGCAACTAGAGCCTGGCGTTGGCTTTGAAGATTTGCTGTTTTTCTTTCTCCATGGGGTTAGGGTTGGTGAGATAAGATAGGGACAAGGGGTTGCCCCTCCATGCCCCGCCAAAAAGATGAGAGTGCTCTTCAACTCCCGGCTCGATTAGGCCAATATCTGAGGTGACTCGTAAATCTTGAGACGGTAAGGAGTCACACCACCATCAGATCTTCTTCGTAACATATAAGTTCCAGTCACATACCCAAGCTCTCGACAAGGCCAATTCCACCTTTTGGCGCCTCCACCATGGCAGAATCATCCACAAACCCTGTTCCCCCTCCAGCTCAGGCGCCGGCCGAATCTCCGTCTGCCGAGGGCGGCGAGGATAGCGCCAGCATTTCAAAGAAGGCCGCAAAGAAGGCCGAGGCCAAGGCTAAGAAGGAGGCCGAGAAGGCTCGTCGTGCGGCCGAGCGAGCTGCCGCCGCTACAGCATCTAGTGCAGCAGCCCAGGCCGAAGACCTTGCCAAGGATAACTACGGACAGGAAACACACGAGACCAAGTTTTCCACTGACGCCGTTGAAATAAATCTGAAGACACTCAACGATGAACATCTCGGGAAGAAGGTTGAGCTCCGCGCCTGGATCCAGAACGCTCGCATGCAGGGCGCCAAAATGGCCTTCGTCGAGCTCCGTGAGGAGGGCAACTGGGCCATCCAAGGTGTGATTGCTGCCAGTCCCGAGGGTACACCTGTGAGCCGGCAGATGGTGAAGTGGGTTGGCGCCATCAACCCCGAGAGCTTCGTCGTCGTCGAAGGCACGGTTCAGAAGCCGCTCGAGCCGGTGAAGAGCTGCCGTGTATCCAACTACGAGCTGCACATCACCAAATGCTTCATTCATGCTGCCGCTCCGGCCATGCTTGGCATGACGCTCGCCGCGGCGAACAGACCCATCGCCAACTTCAGCGATGAGGAGGTGCCTGTGGAACAGGGAGTAGAAAAGCTCAGCATTGCTTCAGCCAGCGAGGCGACTGGCACGCCCGCCGCCAGTATGCTTACCCATCTCGACAATATCGTCATGCACAAGCGATCTGCGGTCCAACAGGCTATCGCCGATATCCGCTCAGAGATGAAGGAGCTGTTCCGGTCTTACCTGAGGTCCCACGGCTTCAAGGAGTTTGAGCCCCCGTGTCTCATCGGTGCCGCTTCTGAAGGCGGCGCTAACGTGTTCCGCCTGCCTTATTTTGAGAAGGAGGCATACCTAGGTTGGTGACCTGGTTTAGATCTACCGTGCTCGTTGATCAATGCTGACCTATTTCTCAGCGCAATCCCCCCAGTTCTACAAGCAAATGGAGATTGCAGGTGGCCGGAAGCGAGTGTTCAGTATCGGCCCTGTTTTCAGAGCCGAGAATTCGAACACGCCGAGACATATGACGGAGTTCACCGGTCTCGATATGGAAATGGAGATTAAGAGGGATTATCGGGAAGTTCTGGTACGTATTAGCGCCTCCTTACTCGTAGCTTTGCTTCTTTTCCGGTTCCACCGGCCATTTTGTGAAGATATCACTAACAGCGAGCAGCACATGCTTGAAGGCGTCCTTCTCCACATTTTCAGAAACATCAAGGAGCGCTGCGCCGACGAGATTGCCCTAGTGCGCTCCGTCTACCCGTCAGAGGATTTTCTCCTGCCCGAGCCTGGGAAAGAGGTCCGTTTGACCTTCGCCGAAGGTCAGAAGCTCCTCCGGGAAGAGGGCCCGGAAGAATACCGCAACGTGAGCGACGATGAGGACATGAGTACGCCGCAAGAGAAAGCTCTTGGCGCACTTATCCGCAAGAAGTACAATACCGACTTCTATACGCTTGACAAATTCCCCGAGGGAGCGCGGCCTTTCTATGCCAAGGAGGACCCGACAAACCGCAAAGTTACCAATGCCTACGACTTGTTCATGAGAGGGCAAGAGATTTGCTCTGGCGGGCAGCGTATCAATGACCCCGTCGAGTTGGAAGCGCGAATTCGCACTAAGGGACTGGACCCTGGGAGCCCCGGCCTGAAAGAGTACGTTGACGTTTTCAGACAGGCCGGAGTGCCCGCTCATGGTGGTGGCGGTATTGGTCTGGATCGAGTTGTTGCCTGGTATCTCAACCTACCAAGTGTCCATCTGGCGGCATACTACCCTCGTACACCGAAGCGATTGCTGCCCTGAAGACCCGTACGCGGGAGAAAGGGGGGAAGGGGAAACCTAAGATGTTTGGTACTATCCACCTACCTTGGTGCGAGCGTGCAAAGTAGAGTGCTCCAATAGACATCATGTGTACGCCCTTCTCCTGTGCTTCTCAGGCCGAGGAGGTGGATGTGATTATCAGTGTATCGGCGTAATCCCCGACCATCCTTCCGGTAGGGGAAATGCAAGGAGGGTTCTGCCGCGTGACTGCCATCGGTATGCTAAGGAATGGCTACATCACACGACACACTCGCTGTTCCAAGAGTTCATTAGCTACATGCCTGAAGACTTTAGCCCCAATTGCAGAGGTACCAATTCATTTGGTGACTGACCCGACTCATGTTGAGTGCGTGCCTTGATTTGATACTCGTACACAGATTAACCTTCTGGTATCAGCGCTGGTCAAAAGCTTTCACAGAAGATATTGTTTCAATCCGATCCGGAAGCGGCACCAATCAAGAAGGTTTGCCAGTAGGTGCCGTCGAGAAACATCACGAAATCGAGTCCCAGTCCTCTAACAACGTAGTTGAGCTCTTTCCTTCCTCATTCTTAACGCACAGCCGACTTCTTTCCCCATTTCACTTCTTTTTTTTTTTTTTTTTTTTTTTTTTTCTCCTCCGTACAATATCGTTAGTTTACTCAAAGCAAAACTTGCCAACCGACTCCATCTCATTCTGAGTTGTACAATCGACGACTATCGCTAAGATCTGCAGCAACCTGCCAACTCGAGAGGATGGATAGCTTTCTGGAAGACTAAGAAACGAAAGCAAAAGAAAACGTGAATCCTTCAACGGACCTAAGTCGTCGCTACTCCGAGAGTGATCCACTGGCTTACTGAGCGCCGCAGAACAGAATATGGCACCCCCAGCAAGTGAGTCAGAGACACCTGCCTGACTTTTACCAGCCAGTGCCGTTTTAACTCCGGTTTACGAAGACTAAAACACCTACGCAGCACCAAAATCCCCCGCATTCTCAGTCCCCTATCGCTCTCAGGGCGTACTCACCGGGCGGGTCACCAAGTCTTCTTCCGAGCCACCATCATCGCCCTGTGCTCCAGGCAACCAAAACAGGGCCCGAATCCAAAGCCCATCCAAGACAGCCAAATATGGTCTTTGCCCAGTATGTCGTATCGGCCGCCGGGTTCGCTCCAGGTTCCACCCGAAAGGAACCTCCCCGTTCCCGGGCAAGTGGCGCTTCGTGTGCAGCAATCGGATTGTGCCCTCCAACAAGAATACCAGCAACAACGACAGCGGCAGCAGCAGCAGCAGCAGCAGCAGCAGCAACGGCCAGGCAATGGTCAAACAGTCCAAAGGGTGCACCTACACGGAGGTTCTCGATTTCGACCCGATGAAAGATCCCTTCCTTCAAGCCGAACTGCAAGTACAGGACCGTGATCAGGATTGGGAACAAGATCGAGATCAGGGGCAGTACGAGCAGACTCCGACCTCCAAGGCGATGAGGAAAGCCACGGCAAAGGAGAATAGTGCAGGGAGTACGAGGCGGTGGAGACAGAGTGTTCTGTTTGCTGAAAGGCAAGCTGGAACCTCAAGCGGGGACAAGGGAAGGGGTGAACATCGGCAGGAGGCGAATGCCCCGATAAGGGATGAGGATAAGGTGAGGACTGCGCGGATGAAAAGCGGAGAGATCAAGGCTGGAGATGGGAGCGAGAAACAGCGCCATGATCTACAGGCTGCTGGGGCTGCAGCCACGAACGCGGCACTGGCGGCGATTGAAATGGCAAAGAAGAAGAGAGAGACCATTGATCTGACGGGAGACGAGCAGCAGCATGACAATTTCGGAAGTTCGCTTGGTCGGCCGAGACAGGATGTACCACAGAAGGGCGTGACAGTACGGCCGAATGTGCCCATGGGAAAGGCGAGCGAGAGGGCTGAGGGCCCCGACGAGGACTATTTCGATGATTTGGGTCCCGAGGACGAGAAGGAGCTTGCCTCCCTGGCCGAAGCTGCCTCGCAACATCAAGACCAGAGTCAGACATTAGCCGATGCTTTCGTGGATGACTTTGATGAGGAGGACGAGGTTCGGCTGATTGAGCTGGCTGACAAGGCTTCAATGATGGACGAGTTTGATGAGGAAGACGAGGCCTGTTTGATTGAACTGGCCGACAAGGCGTCCTCGGCTTCTCTGCCTACAAGACGCCGCCTGTTTGGCACATGAGCAGTTGATAGGTGGGCATGAGGGAACCTTTGGCTTTATAAAGCGTCCTAAAGGGGACTGACGAAGATACTGGTATACTGCGTGATTTCAGTCATCTCATTGACATTTGGTAGGATCGGAGAGTATCAAACACGAAAGTTTATTTCAGAAGAATACAAGATGTTGCAAGGCCAGAAAACAAAACAAACTTAACTAAGCAGCCCGATAAAGGACGACGCATTGGGCGGTGCGATGGTCACTAAACGCGAAGCTGGAAATAAAAGATCATGCTATGGTGAGTCGCAACGTTGGAAGACATGAAAAGGCGGCATATCGGCGTGATAGGCCCAGACAGTACGGAGGTACAGCACCGATACATCGGGGGCTAGATGATCACAAGCAGTGAAGAATCGCCTTTGTTGATTGCAAACCCGATGGACGTTTCAAACCTCAAAGAGCTCTTGTGGGGACACTCCAATCTGGCGCCGGAGCCCCGGATCTAACGGGCTTCTGGAAGTTTTCCGATTGGGTAGCAACCGGTGGAAGTCGCCCGACTGGGCGCACTGGCCGGCGCTTCGTGCAGCTCTAAGGGCCCCACTCATTGTGGGGCTCCGATGAAGTCAGTGTTGACGAGTTCAAAAACGCGACCGACGCGCCTCTGGCGTGTCACCTTTCCACTTCTCCAACTGTCATGTTCATGTGCGTATTGCAATCTTCTTAGACAATTCCATCCCACTGTCAAGTCTTTTTTCTGGCTTGATGCGGGGATTTCCTCTTGGTCCAAGCATATTGCTACTTCTGCTTGTTCCTTGAGCCCCGCATCGCCACTATTCGTCACTTCGTGTCGAAGTAAATGTTTTGAAGTGAATCTGACAGCGACAGTTCAAACTCGCTCCTCCTTCGCTCGAACCAGGGAACCGTTGATGATGGCTGAGGAACCGACTCTACCTCGTCTACCATCCCCTCTGGCGTCCGCCAGCAGGGGTAAACGTACTTTTGGCGGCGGGGTCTCGTCCCCAGAGCTATCGACATCGAGTGACCCCGCTTTTTTCTCCAGTGATGACGACCCGGCTCTCGATAACTACCAGGGCCAGGGCCGTCGCAAGAGAAGATATGTCGGCGCTTGGTTCGACCAGCATCCAGCATCTTCGGATTCGGGTGTGGACGACGAGACCCGTGCGACACACGTCTCACGTCGAAACAAGGCTCGCCCCCGCCCCAAAAAGCGGGAGTTTAGGAGACAGCTCGACAGTGGTGTATGGATGGGCACGGATGGAGCTCTGACCGACACAGACGATGGTGTCGATCTGGAACCTGTTCCCGCAAGGCTACCTCTGGTTCCACGGCAGGCTCCGGCTCCAGGGCCCCTGGCTCCAGCTCGCCCACGGTTGTCTGTTGCAGAGGAGGCTGTCCAGAATACGGTTCTGAGATGCCTTGACAATGGCAACGAACTTGTCGACCTCAGGTCAGTTTAGGTCGCTGACTCTTGGCCGCCAGCTTCTCATCTGACGCGCTGCAGTGGATTACAACTGGAGAAAATATCCGACGGCCTGATCGAGCCAATATCGAATATCTGCCCGATCCCTAATGTTGCAAAGGATGTTGCTTTCGAGCAAAGAGACCCGCAGATTAAGATCTTCCTTTCCAACAATCGGCTCCGGACGTTACCCCTGGCATTGCTCAATATTGAACATTTGACAGTGCTTAGTCTGCGGGCAAACCAGCTCACCAAGCTTCCACCGGGTATCGCAAAGCTTAGAAATCTCCGCACTCTCAATATCGCTCAGAATGCGCTCCGTTTTCTCCCAGCGGAGCTCCTCGGACTCCTCCAAAAAGGCAGCAAGCTTACAGAGATGCAATTCCAGCCAAACCCCTTCTGGGTTCCGGGCCCAGCTCCGCCACAGAATATTGGTGGAGAAGAGTACCTGAAACGCACCTTTGGCCCCCAGCCTGACGTCGGATTCGAAGCCAGCTGGGCGGGCCTCACCACCAAGCTGCACTCACGAACTCCGGTCCAATTCACCGACGACACTTGCGAGCTACGGTCCAGCTTCGTCTTGCCGGTTCAGACGCGTTCCTTTCGCGCAGCTATTGAGCTAGAACCCTTCCAAGAGCTCGCTACGCCAACGGGATTCAAGACGCACGCCAGCGCCGAAACGAATAGAGCGGTGCGCCCGAGAGGCGCCAAGTCCCTGCTTGAATTAACCCTCCGCGCGTGTGCCGCGTCGGGACAGGCTGAAGAAATAGCTTCGTGGCTCAGGGAGGAGAGCTGGCCGGCGCACCTTGCCACTTTTGTCGAGAAAGCAAACGAATTCCACCAGAGTGGTGGCGGCAGGTGTTCGGTTTGTGGAAGGGATATGGTGGTGCCGATGACAAGCTGGATCGAGTTTCGGCAGATTGGACGGACGACGGTGACGAAGAACGGTGACGGGGGTGAAGTGTGCAGGTTCATGGGTCTGGTGGGTGAGAGCGAGGGGCCGGTGCCCTTTATGAGGGTTGGTTGTTCTTGGCGCTGTGTGCCCGCGAGAGTTGAAGCGGAATCCGATTCTTGAGAGCTCCCCGAAGCGGAGGAGAGGCGGATGGTGAGGTCCCGAGGCAGTGGGATTGATTGGCTTAGCAGGCGAGGTGGCTAGGGGGATCGCAGGATACTGGGGTTGTACAACTGTACAGTCGGTATGCTTGCACAACCTGCGACGGTCTGTACCAGGTTGAAATTCGGTACCTGGATGTACATCATGTACAAAGCGCAATACCGAGAAAAATGTCGTTCCAAATCTGGGTCCTCCACAGTCTGTCGTTGACAGCACTCATATACTACATAGCGTGGTAGGCTGGGTGAATGGATCGTTATTCGAATATCAGATAAAAGATTCTGTCATTTGCGTTGATGAATGCTTTCTCGCTGTTTGAACTACCTCACTACCTACCTATGGATTACCAATGCCTGAGCTTTTGAGAGGCTGTGATGGAATTGGACCGCTGACATCACCAATTGGGGCTTTCGCGCAGCGCCAAGGCTGATGTCGTCAAGGGTATAGAGGGGCCCAGCAGGGCTTGTTTCAACGTCACCTTCTGAGCTGCTGCCCAGAGCTTGCTTCCCAAAGCTTTGATCGAGCATCCAGCGAACAAGATCTCCACCCAGCACAGCGGCTACGACGGGAATCCGACCACAGCCGCTTACCACCCGTACCCAATGGACATCTAGATTTAACGAAAACATCCGCTCGTAACATTCCGAGTCCGATCGATTTCAAAACGCTACTCGGCCGAGCGCGTCCGAGCTAGCTCGCGCAGCCTCAGACCTTCAACAGCGGGTTCCGTCCCGCAACAAAACCACACAATGCACCTTCAACACCCCGCCTCGAGGCTCTCCCTGAGCCACCTCCTCGCCGCCGCCCTCACGTGCACCTTGACCTACTTCCCCCAACCCGTCGGCGCCGTCTTCCGCGACGAGGTCGGCCACATCGACTACCACCACGCCCTCCTCGGCCTGCCCCAGCGCGAGACCACCTTCTTCCACCGTCCCCGCCGCGACGACCGCGCCAGCCTGCTCTACACCCTCAGTGACCTAGGAATCCTGGGCGCCGTGCACCCCGGCAGCGGCGAGATTGTGTGGAGGCAGGATTTGCGCAGCGGTGGTGATGATATTTACGATGACGACGATGAGAATGTTGGTGATGGGGATGGGTTCGGGCTCGGGTTCACACGGGCTGGTGAAGGCGAGGGGTGGATTGTCAGCGCGCTGGGCAGGGCCGTCCACGCGTGGGATGCCGTCAGCGGGAGGAATCAGTTTTCGGTCCGGTTCGATAATGGGGTCGTCAGGGACTTGGAGGTGATGGAGATGACGGAGCAGGAAGGGGGGAGGAGGAAGGATGTGCTGGCGCTGGTTGAGGAAGGCGCCGCGACCGTGCTGAGGAGGCTGAACCCGACCGACGGGAGCGTGGTGTGGGAGTTTAGGGAGGTGACCAGGGACGTGCCGCTGCAGGTGAGCACCAACGTGGAAAAGGTCTTTGTGGTCAGCTTAAAGGGCACGGCCGGCGCGTATAATCTCAAGGTTACGGTTTTGGATACGCTTACCGGGAAGAGGCTGGATGAAATGGTGCTGGGCACAAAGGCGGATGTTCATGGCAAGAAGGACGTCATGTTCGTCGGGGCGAACTCGGCCGCGCCAATTCTGGCCTGGACGGACGATGCCCGCCAGACGCTGAGAGTTAATGTGCTCGGCACGAAGACTCGGCAGGAGTTTGCCTTGCCGCCCGATACGTTTGCGGTCGAGATCCACGCACCTCACCTGATCCAGTCGCAGCCGCACTTTCTGGTCCACAGCAAGACGTCTACCGGGCATAAGGGGGAGGTCTTCCATGTTGATCTTAAGACCAACACCATTTCCAAAGCATACAGTCTCCCTATGCTCCCCGGTCCTGGAGCTTTTTCGACCAGTTCGAGCGGAGCCAGCGTCTACTTCACACGTATCACTGAGGACGAGGTTATACTGCTCTCCTCGCAGTCGCATGGCGTGCTTGGTCGTTGGCCTTTGAAAATTGGCGGTTCGAAGGCGGTCGCCATCCACTTGGTGTCTGAGGTGATCAAGAAGGCTGGTCCGGAAGAGAGCTACGCAGTCCGCTCAGCAGCCGTGACGGACGCAGACAACTGGGTACTAATCCGCAACGGCGAGGAGCTGTGGGCCCGCCCTGAAGGGCTGACTGGAGGCGTCACCGCCACGTTTGCAGAGATTCCTGACAGGGAGGAACTGGCGAAATCTCTCGAGCAAGAGGCACATAGCAGCCCGCTACAGGCGTACATCCACCGTGTCAAGCGCCACATCCATGACCTTCAGTATCTCCCCGCATACCTCAACAGCATTCCTTCGAGAGTCATGAGCAGTATTCTCGGCACCGACGTCGCCCCTACTGCTGGTAAGCTGGTCCGGGACAGCTTCGGGTTTCACAAACTCGTTGTTCTCGCCACAAAACGCGGGAGAGTCTACGGCCTGGATGCGGGAAACAACGGTAAAGTCCTATGGAGCACTCGAGCCTTCAAGATCCCGAAGGGCAGAAGGTGGGATGTCAAAGGGATTCAGGCGGACGAATCATCAGGTCAAACCACGATTCTCGGTTCCAAAGACGACTTTGTCGTGTTGAAGACGGATACTGGTGACATTATCGACTCAAGAGCACCCAACCCGGAGGCGACGACGCAGGGCGCCGCTCTAGTTGACACCCCGTCCGGCCAGCAGCTCCTAAGGATCGGTCCGGATGGGAAGATAGAGGACTTGCCCGCTGCAAGGGCCCCATCGCAGACGGTTGTCACGCGCACTGCCGATGGGCAGCTGAAGGGAGTTATCTTCGTCGCAAACGGCACAAACTCGAGAGCATTTACCTCCTGGGTCTTTTCCTTGCCCAAGGGCCAAAGGGTGGTAAGCATTGCGACGAGACCCCCTCACGACGCTGTAGCTTCCATCGGGCGTGTACTTGGCGACCGGACGGTCAAGTATAAGTACCTCAACCCTAATACACTCGTCCTCGGGGCCGTCGACCACAGCTCCCGCATGCTTGTTGTCTACCTCCTAGACACGGTATCCGGACAAGTTCTCTGGGTCTCCAAACACAACGGCATCGATGCCAGCAAGCCCATCGAGTGTGCCATGGCCGAGAACTGGTTCGTCTGCACCTATTTCGGACAGTACGCGCTGCGCGACAACTCGGCCCAGTCACTCAAGGGCTACCAGGTAGTCGTTGCGGACCTGTACGAGAGCGACAAACCCAACGACCGCGGCCCGCTCGGCGACGCCGCCACCTTCTCCTCGCTGGACCCAATCGACGTTCCCACGGGCGTCGTCCTGCCATCCGTCGTCTCCCAGTCTTACGTCCTCAGCGCGCCCATCTCAGCCCTGCAGGTTACGCAGACGAGGCAGGGCATCAGCTCGAGGCAGGTCCTGGCCTATCTGCCCGAGTCGCACGGCATAGTCGGCATCCCGCGCATGGTGCTCGAGCCAAGGCGGCCCGTCGGCCGGGATCCGACCCCGGCCGAGGCCGAGGAGGGATTGATCAGGTACCACCCTGCCATCGAGATCGACCCGAAGAGCGTCATCACCCATGAGAGGGACGTTCTTGGCGTCGGGAAGATCATCACGTCGCCGGCCGTTGTGGAGAGCACCAGTCTGGTGTTTGCGTACGGGGTGGATATCTTTGGGACGCGGGTCGCGCCGAGTTTCTTGTTTGACATATTGGGCAAGGGATTCAACAAGCTTGCGCTTGTCGGGACGGTTCTGGCGCTCTTGGCCGGGGTGGTCACCCTTGCTCCGGTGGTGAGTTTCCCGGTCTTGTTGTGCCTGCCTTGAAAAGGGGCGTGTGCTAACGAGTTTTATACAGGTGAAGAGAAAACAGGTTAATATGAGGTGGGAGGCGCCAATGTAGAGGGCAGTGTATACTTTTTCACGAAGCATGAGTATTGTAGACTATACATGGGCTGGAGAATTGCATGGTTTTGGGTTGTTTGACGCGGTTTAGGCAGTATCCTGCCGCATCTTTCCCAATGCCGACCATTGATGCTAACGTGTGAGGAGAGTGCTTGGTCGAACCAACGGAACTACAAGGCCGATGCTACCGCGGCCCGCAATCAAGGGTTGTCTCCAATCAAACTATCAAAGCGAATATGCATGGGTACATTCATCAGGCACACATCCCGAGTTTTGCGAGTTCGCATCAAAAGTTTGCACGCTCACTGTCGAAATCCTCCTTCATGACCGCCGCTCGAGTCAGCCGTCCCCCAGAAACCCATCCCTTCGTCGCAGGGTTTCTTCCACACGTCGCGACTTGCAGCCAAAGTTGCCCACTAGTAATCACACTGTCACCATGCCGCGCAGGCGATTAGCAAACCCGGCGACCCGAGTTCACCTTTTCTGCAGGGCTCTGGCACTTCTCTTTGAGCTCGCTGTCTTGATCTTCCTCATTTATATCAGCAAAACGCTGGGCTACTCGAACGGCATTAGATACGCCGGTGTAGGTCCGCTTCCGCCGCCGTGTCTCGGATCGCCCCCGGCTAACACCCATGATCCCTCTCAACGTGTAGGTCGTCTGCGCAATCTTGCACAATGCCAGCCAAGTGGTGGCCCTCACTGATCGTCATCATCGGCTGCGCCATGTCCCCCCTCCCTGTGTCGTCATCTTCGATCTTGTCATCCTAATCCTCCTAGGCGCGAGCATTGGGTACGATTTTGTTGAGGCCTTGTCTCGCCTTGACAAGCGCGCCGGTCCCTTCTACCGTACTCTCCTCGACGATCAGTACTACATGGTATATACCATGCTGTAAGCTCTCGATTCTAACGTAACTTCCAGTTGCGCCACCAAGCCTTAGCCACTAATCATACCTCCTAGGGCGGTACACGGAATTCTTATAGGTGTCTCCCTATGGGACTTTTGCCTTCAGGTCCGCCTTGAGAATCGCCTGCCGTCTGCCGATAGGTCTGTCAATGCCACAGCAGGCGATGATATGCGCGACGGACCGGCGAGGCGGGGCGATATGGAAGGAGTTGAACTTCGAATGAGGTAGCTAAGTTGCTTCCCAACAGACTTGTGTTACTATACCCGTGACGCTTCGCAAGACGGATCCTTTCATCTCGGCTTGCTCTCTCTCCTGCTCAACCTCGTGTGAATGTGAAGTACAGTGCTTCCCCATTCTCCCGTGGCGCCGCGGACGATGCAGTCTTTGGAGGCCTGCGTCAAGTCCCTTCAGCAATGCCACCGCCACGTTTTCCCTCCCCGACGTCACTATTCGGAGGGTCACAGCGTAGAGCCCACCGCAGAATTCGTCAAGCTCATCGGTGGGATGGCCTCCAGGGGAACCTGCCAGAGGCGACCAACTCGTTGGCAAAACGGGCACTACCAAAGTCGCCAAGAAAATAATCAGGCAACTCCGAGTTCGCTGCCCAATGTGCCCTAATGTTCCGCATGTCGAGGGCTCTGTGGTACAGCGGCTGCGGCGCGGCCATGTAAAGGTAAGTGAATGATCTGCTCACCTCAGTGTCCATAGTCCTCAGAGAGTCTCCTTCCAAGCTAGAAAGTCTCCTCCAAGGTATCAAGTGCTCAAGGACACAGTTCTCAGGCACTCGTGCCTACTAGTAATCCCGAGTATTCTAGGCAGGTTGTCCGCTTGGGACAACCGGGAAAACCGCACTAATCATGTTATAGTATCCTTAATATTACATCAAGTCAACGCAAATCCTCTGTGGCGCAATTGGTTAGCGCGTCTGACTGTTAATCAGGAGGTTGGAAGTTCGAGCCTTCCCGGAGGAGCTCTTTTTGAGTTTAGTTCGGCATTTCCCCTTTTTTGTGCTTTTGGTTTTTACCGTCCCACATTAGTTTTGTTTCAGATCTATCTTGGATCTGGCACACTGGAAATGGTTGGGACGAAATGCAATTCGGAGGTTACACAAGTACTGTACAGTACAGTTCATAACAAGCCTTCCGAGGGAGCTCCGCGTATATAGTGACAGTTTGGCTACAATGCGAAGTGCAGCGCAGATGAAAATTGGATCCCCTGCCTTTCAGAATGCCTTCCCAACCGACCCCCTTTGCACTCTGGCTTGCTCAGTCATTCATTAGATATAGACTCGTCATAGTGATACACGCAGTCGTTGGTCT